CTTCATGGCCGGCCGGGCCGCCGGCTCCAAAGCGGCAGCGGCGAGGACGGCAGCAGAGCGTTCCCTGCGCATGCGCAGGGGACGTTCTGTAAGTTTCGGGGGGATTTAAGTATCCTCCCGATATTTTTGTCCAGTTTTTAGATTTTTGTGCACACGTGGGGACTGGCCCACGTGTGCACAAACCTCCCCCGGCCCCCCAAGTGCCCCCGAAGTGCGGACATAGCGATCCGCACGGAGGGGCAACTTGACTATTAGATATAGTGATAGTATTAGGATAAATAGCAAACAGCAATAGCTATTCTAATCATTTGGTTTTATATACAGCACCTGAGCATCATGGATGAAGAATCCTACTCTAAATGAAAATCCAAGCATGGTGTCCCTGAACATCCCATTATGCAAGTCATTCTTGAAGAGCTTCTCCTCTAGAACAATGTGGAACCGGATTTGGTCTTCATCCTGAGAATAATATTATTAAATTTAACTATTGACCAGTACATTATGTATATGGTAAGCTTTTTATGACAAACACAGTCAGCAGAAATCAATATTTTAAAAGCTCATATTCATAGTGATGTGAATGAGACCATCATTGTTCATAGGGCTATTATAAGTTGGGTTCTCACCAGGGCCAGATTGGCCATTTAACTGACAAGGAAATTTCCTGGTGGTTCACTGGTGACCAGGTGCCACTGGCATTGCAAACTTAAAAGGACTGATCTCAAAGCACAGAGCCACAACAAATCCAAGCAAAGGTGCAAGCTCTGTGCAAGAAAATGGAAGGGAACACAAAGGAACACAAAGGAAGGGCAAAGAGGAAAAAACCCTCTTGAAACTGACAAGACTAGTTTGAAACTGAGAAGAGCAGTGGGGAAGCCCCAGACGCAGAAACAAAAAAGAGAAAGAAAAGGGCGGCGGGGGGGGGGGGGGGGGCACAGCTCAGACAGTCTCTGGGAGCCTGCAGTGCTGGCTCCTGATCTTCCTGGAAAATCCCAAAAATATCCAGGATTTTTTGGAGACTTTTTTGGTTTTCAAAAAATTCCAGATATTTCTGGGATGCCGAAATATACCCAAGAAAGACCCAATAAGGTTTTCAGATTGAGTGTATCTGAATGCACACCTCTACTTCCCAGTCCACTCTTGGTCCTCACAACTTGATTGTTGAATTGTTCATTGCCATGAGTTCAAGGAAATATGGCAAGATAGAGATATGATAAATAAGCAAACAGAATGTTGTTCACAGTGTGAATACATCCTATTGTTGCCTTTATAAACAAGATTTGGAGGCTTTTGTAGGACTTCCTAAACTTATCCAGAGATAACAAAGGGATGAACTTGCACATCACATTCAAGGATAGAAAGTCAGTTTGAGCGGTGGTTCTAGCATCAGTCAAAGACTGGGAAAATCATCCTCTAATCCCTCTTCTTCCTTGAGGCTCAGCAGGTGGCCCAAGGCCAGGCATCTTCTACTGAAGTCTATCTGGACTGCTAATATTTATTTGTATTTATTTATTTATAATTTGATTTATATCCCGCCCTCCCCTAAGGCTCAGGGCGGCTAACAATTGGGGCAAAAGACATAATTAAAACAATTAAAACAAGATAAAAACATAACAATAGTACGACAAAGTGCTGGTGCTCTGATGTTCCCAGTTCCAAGATGGGTTCCGGTAGGGTGGATCTGGACCAACGACGTAAGTTCCAAAGCAGCAGATAGCCAGTCTTCTTCCCAGGGCCTGCTTGCATCCTGATGGTATCTCTGTCAATTTTTGGCGACGGTGCATTGATGAAACAGTAGTGGCAGCGGCTCCTACTTGAAAGCCTGGCGGAAGAGCTCCGTCTTGCAGGCCCTGCAGAACTGCGCAAGATCCCGCAGGGCCTGGATCACCTCCAGGAGCTCATTCCACCAGGTAGGAGCCGCCACCGAAAAGGCCCTGGCCCTAGTCTCAGCGAATTTGACATCCCTGAGGCCTGGGGTAGTCAAAAGATGTTGGCCCCCCGACCGTAGTGCCCTTGGGGGAACATATGGGGAAAGGCGGTCCCTTAGGAATTGCAGCTTCCAGATTTGCGACAAAGGCAGTAGTCCAGCCTTGAGGTGACCGTCGCATGGATCACTGTAGCCAGGTCATCACGGTCAAGGAAGGAAATCAACTGCCGTGCCAGCCGAAGATGATAAAAGGCCGACTTGGCAGTGGCTACTACCTGGGCCTCCATCGTTAAAGAGGAGTCCAGGAGCACTCCCAAACTCCTAACCCCTGACGCTGGCACCAAAGGCGCCCCATCAAAGGTCAGGAGTCCCAACCCTGAACCGGCCCGACCTAGGCCCAGGACCTCCGTCTTTGCCAGGTTTAGTTTCAGCCGACTCAGTCTGAGCCAACTAGCCACGGCTTGCAACGCCCATTGGAGGTCATCTGGGTCAGAGTTCGACCGGCCGCCCAGCATCAGATAGAGCTGGGTGTCATCCACATATTGATGACACCCAAGCCCATACCTCCAGGCAATCTGGGCAAGGGGGCGCATGTAGATGTTAAACAACATCGGGGACAGCACTGCCCCCTGAGGCACCCCACAATCAAAACGGTGCCTCCGGGACCACTGCTCCCCTATCGCCACCCTTTGTCCCCGACCTTGGAGAAAAGAGGAAAACCATTGAAGGGCCAGCCCCTGAATCCCCGCGTCGCCGAGGCGGTGGGCCAGCAACTGGTGGTCGACCGTATCAAATGCAGCTGACAGATCGAGCAACAACAGTGCTGCCACACCACCTTGATCCAGATGCCTTCGGAGGTCGTCAGTCAGGGTGACCAATGCCGTCTCCGTCCCATGACCTGGCCGAAAGCCGGACTGGAAGGGGTCTAAGACTGAAGCATCCTCCAGAAAACTCTGTAGACATAGCCTGGGAGAGTCTGGCTGAGAATTGAGACTGAGGGACACTGAGAGGGAGGTCAAGTCTTCCCCTGCACTAGGGCTGCTACTGGCAGCCTACGTTACCCACTGCCACTCAACGGAGTGGTGGGGAAAAGGAAGTCGGCCTTCCAATGCTGCAATACATGGCATTCCAATGCTGCAATATTACTTATATCATAACCCTGGAACTTATATCATAACCATTTTGAAGGTGTGACACTCTAGGTCTCTCCCAAAACTCTGTGGTAAAACACTGTATGCTAAAACCACAGCATTTGGGGAGAATCCCAGAACATTGTGCTGACATGATGATCCCAGTTCTGGGATTCTGCTGGAAGTGACGTTGTGGCATTAGAATGCTGCATATTTATATCCCCCCCCCCCGATTCACCTCCTGCCAGTTGTTAGCGTTTGGATGGCAGCTCTACCCTGCACTGTTTTCCTGAACTGAAACAGCCCCAAGGAAGACATGGTTTGCCCCATTGGGGAAATGAATGTGTAGCTGTCAGTACACATACATTTTCCTAGTAGGCAAATAGCAGCTCCCTGGTGCCATTTCAGGTTTGGAAAACAGAGTTGGGGGGAGGCTTAAGCCCCTGTACCATGTTCTGTGGTCGTGATCCAAAACAGGCCAGTGTGTGCCTGGGAGGAACAGAACTCCTAGAAAAGAAAGTCCTTGTGGTGGTTTGAATCTGCCCTTATTCTGATTTACCTCATAAGATTGTTGAAGAATAAAATTAGGAGGGAAGAACCAAGTATACTATCTGAGCATCTTAGAAGAAGGGTAAGATCAAATGCGATAAATATAAAACAAAGATTAAAATGTTGAAATTAAAGATTAAGAGGTTTATAGTTTAGGCCTATTTTGTATGACTTACAACAAGGATTGGTATACATAACTTTTCCCCAGTTTATTTTTTTTGGGGGGGGGGGTTGAACAGAGAAATGCTAGAGACAAAGGGCTAAGAAGGCCTCCTCAAACTAATTTTGAATTTAAAATGGTGGCCGCTATGCCAGATTCGGGGCAAACAAAAACCCTCAATCAAACACATGACTGAGTGCTAGGAATGTGCTTTCAGAAATCACTTTATCATGTAACTAAAAAGGCAACTGTTGTTCTTATTGATATTACAACTAATCCCAAAAGACAAATAAATAAATAAATTAAAAGACAGTAATCTTCAGAAAACTTTGGCTTTGACCATTGTTCTGGACCCCAAGAGTCTGCTTTGAGGTTAAGAAAGACAAAGGGAACAGAGGAGGAGAGTGATTTAAGAATATTCCTCAGTCAGCAGAGTTCCACAGATGTTGCCCCTGAACAGGAGTACACTGATAAGTCTTCCTGTGCCTAGTGTTTCCCCCAATCACATACTGGCTCACAGGCAAGAGCTCATCCACAGCAGCAAGGGCAGAGGGTTAAAGCAGTGGCTCTACAACCTGCACCTGTTCATGCTTGGTAGACAGATGGCTTCACTTCTTTGTTAAATGTGATGCCTACTAGTGGCATTACCAATTATTTATAGATGCTCTGCCCTTCTTCTGCCTTTTGAGAAAACCATGCCCAATGCCATGCCTACTTTGCAAACCAGAATGCTACTTTGCCTATAGAATTGGGTCTTACGTGCTTGAAATTTGGCAGGCAGGATCCCTTTGCTGATGGTTATAATCCCTAAGAATTTCAGTGGTGCCAGTTATAGTGTCAATCCTTGCTAGACTGTCCTGCGGGTCATTGGGGATGGTACAATCTAACTGGATGGATTCTGCACACTATGCCTGCGTACGCATACCATGGCACTCCCTATTTGTGAGCAATGGCTGCATTTTCAGTTTTGTTCTGAAGCACCAAATGGACAAGAAGGAAAGCTCTGGAGCAGTTATAAATGAATAAAAACTTGAGAACTAATAAACCAGTACATACCAGAGAAGTCAGCTGTTTATCCTTGAGGTAACTTTTAATGGCATAGTCATCGGGGGCAAAAATGGTATAAGTGCCAGCTGCTTCTATTTCACTTGCCAGGTTATATTGCTATTACATAAAGAAAGACAAACACACCTTTATTTCCTTTCTATAATTTTAAATGTTATTTTTCTATGCACATGGATGGCTCCCTGCAGAGTACAAGAGGATGTGTCTTTGCCCCAAGGAGTTTACAATCTCAGATTTTACATTTCAGACACAACAGGAGGGGAGGGGATAATCTTCATTCATTCCAATTATATATGGCTAAATTACAGTAGAGAGGGAGATTCGATTGTGCCAAGAGCTTCACTTAAAAGGTGGGTTTGGAGGAGGAATTTGAAGGAAGTGAGATAGTTTAGTAAGGTGCTGTCACAAGTGTAACACCACATGCCAGTTCTATGAAAATAACACAAATACTTGCAATGATATAACCCCTGAAAATGGTGTAGTCCGGCATCTGTTCCAAACGGACAAGAAGTTTTGGTGGTGTGGAGGACCTCACTCTTCTGCGGGGTGTAAGAACCTGAGTACAAAAGCACAGTTTAAATCAGTGGATGATGCTGTGATTGCAGGATGCAGTTCCAACATTTAGAATTAAATATAATATGATTTGGAAGAGGGTGACTATTTTCCCTAGCAGCTGCTCAAGAAGAAGGTAAGAATCCATCTGCATCAATTCACAAAGGTATAACTGCAACGTACCTAAACTATCAGGATTTTCATAGACAAATCGAATTGTAAAGATTCATGGGACCCTCCCCCCACGCCTTTTTTTTGGGAGGGGGGAAAGGAAACTTCATCAGCAGCTGAAAAAAATTCTGTAAATCTTCAGTGGGCACTTGTTATTATAAAAGGGGCTAGAGTATTTATTTATTTAATCTCAGAGATGGAAGGGACCACCAGGGTCTAGTCCAACTCCCTGCCAGTGCGGGAACTGCAACTATAACATCCCAAACAAGTAGGAAGGGACCACCAGGGTCTAATACAACCCCCTGCCAGTGCAGGAACTGCAACTATAACATCCCAAACAAGTAGGAAGGGACCACCAAGGTCTAGTACAACCCCCTGCCAGTGCAGGAACTGCAACTATAACATCCCAAACAAGTAGGTATCCAATTGATACTTAAAAACTCCAATGACAAAGTAACCAGCCAAGTTCTCCAGCTGAGCCCTGCTGATAAACCTCCACTAACATAGTGAAATGGATGCTACTTCACTGAGAGAATTTTCATATGGCTCCAACAACACATTTTCCCTTAGCTGTATCTCCATTTAAAAAAGGAATATGATTATTTCTGCTGCCATCCTATCATTTGAAAAATGTATGCAAGTACCTTATCAATAATGTGTATAATCCCATTTGTGGCTACAATATCTCCAGCAACAATGTTGGTCCTAGCAATAAGATTCTGTAAAGGAGGAGGGTGGGGGGGAAAGTTAGGATAATTTTTCCAAACTCTTGATTACTGCTGGCTTGTGATCTGTGGAGTATCCTTAATGTATCCAAGAAGAGGCATGGGAGGGAGAAACAAGTCTAAACTTCTTTGTATTCTTCATGGTGAATGTAAGTTTATAACATCACATTATTCTGGCTGGACACAGAGCAGACAAAGCAGAACTTGAGGCAGATGCAGCCAATGCTCCCTCTAAGCTGTGGAGTCTTGTGAGCAAAAATTCTACCTTGTGACCTACTGGCATTAAAGTTGTGAGTGAGCGATTTGGCTACTGCATAAATTAGTTTGCTCTGGAGCCATCCTTCCTAAGACAAAAATCTGCGAGCTGGAGGCTAAAAAACTGTGAGCTAACTCACACTAACTCAGCTTAGAGGAAACACTGGATTCAGCATCGAAAGCTTGCACACTTTATAACTTTCCAAGTACATCTAAAATAATCATTTAAAAGTCTGTCCAGTTATGCAAAGAAACCCTATCTCAGACAATATTACGAAACCAAGAGATTCTCCCGGCCTGCAACAGAAGTCTATAGAAACAAGAGAAGACCCCAGGAAAGGACATTTTCTCCTTTGATCATAAAGAATGTATTGATAAACTTACTTCATTTCCTCTGGAGGCTGGGACAGAGTTGTCATGCAGGTCATCAGACAAAGACATATTCTGGAAGTCAGCAACTGTGTAGGTTCCATCTAATATGTGAGACCTAACGAAATGCAGATAGGTATCAACAATGTCAAAAGTCATGGTTACTTTCTTGCATACTGAACGGGAGCTCTGTTTTGCTTCAATAATTATCTGAACCAGGAAAAATTCCATATGTTACTGTTTGCAGTATGGGAGCACTTCTCTGTGGTCTATTCTCCACTGCTGTGGCCCAGTTTGTATCCAGGAATCACTTGGCTGGGACAAGTGTTGACCAAGTTAACCCCTCTCTCACCACCTAAAAATCACCTTGTGTGCTGATTGGGCAACGATTGGATGAAAAACAATCTAAGGACTGACAATGTCCTTGTGATTCTTGGACATAAACTGCATCAGATCTGGTATGCAAGAAGCCCAGAAGTAAGTAGCTCCCACACTACTGGTGGCAGTTGTATGAATTGCCTCCTGAATTCCACTCTGTTAAAGGTAAAGGTTCCCTTGCTCGAAAGCCAGTCGAGTCCGACTCTAGGGATGCAGTGCTCATCTCCGTTTCAAAGCCGAAGAGCCAGCGCTGTCCGAAGACGTTTCCGTGGTCATGTGGCCAGCATGACTAAACACCAAGGCGCGCGGAACGCTGTTACCTTCCCACTGAAGTGGTACCTATTTATCTACTTGCAATTTCTTGCTTTCGAACTGCTAGGTTGGCAGGAGCTGGAACTAGAGACGGGAACTCACTCCATCATGCGGCACCCGGGTCTCGAACTGCTGAACTACTGACCTTCCACAGCCTGCAGTTCAGCGTCTTAACCACTTGAGCCACCGCAGCTCCACTCTGTTACAAAGATATAAATCTTGGTTTTGTTTTGCAGTGTTTGACATATAGATGAATACCAGGATTTCAATGAGGCTTGAAAATAGATTTCTAATACAGAGGAATGAATTCAATAGCAAGAAAACAAGGGAAACATTTACCCAACACATTTCTTCTACAATAGCGAAGTATGGTATTTGTGGACTTCCAGCCACAGCACATATAGACATTACTGCAAGAATGTCCCTGCACTGGTTTTCCTTCCTTTTTCAATTACTCCTTCCACAGGGCAACTTGAATGTAGATTAAGGACTGATATGTACTCTCAAGAACAGAGTCTATTTATCCTATTCCAGAAAAAGCAGAGAAATCACCCCATGGACAAAGAAGGTGGCTATACCTGGTAGGTATCATTGTCTTTAAGGACAGAAGGGCTGGATTCTAGGTTCCAATCAAAACTTTTCCATGAACATTGAAGACATTTTTTTTTAAGACAGAGAATTGTCGTCCTAGTACAGAAGGCACAACATGGATGAGACACTGGAAAATTGGTTCCTTCTGTGTCACCTTCTTAGGTAAATTAGTATGTTTCAATGCTAGCCCCCCACGTTTAACTCTGTTTGGCTCTGGAGCTGTATTTGTGCCTGATTGACAAGGCTCTTATAGGAATTAAGGAAGCAATTCCTGTAAAGTCCTTCAATCTTCTGCAAATTATAAACCAAAAAAAGATAATGACAGAAATACTCAACATACTTTATTAGGGCTGGGATGTTGCTTTTAGACATCCAAACAGCTCTCTCATCTTGGTCCATGTTTTCAATTGCTTGTCGAGAAGGCACAAAGATGGTTAGATTTGACATATCTGTCAGTAGCGCTGTAATTGCACCTGTCTAAAACACAGGAAAAAATGTATCAAGGCATTAAAAAGCTTCTGTGAGTGAAAAGAAGTCCAAGTAGTTATCAAAAGGAAAGGAAACTAGCAATTATACAATGATTTCTTCTAAGCAAAGAATTCCCATGTGATACTTCAGTGTCAAATGTTTGTGGAAAGAGAAAAACAGATAAAGGAATAAAGAGTCTGATTTGTGCATTTTTCAGACACCTGATTTCACCACAACTATTTTTATAGTACTGTTATTTAAGTAAGCATATGGGTCAAAATGATAGTGTATAAATGAAGTAAATAAATAATCATTTACTGCTTTCATTCCCTTTCCCCCCCCCCACTTGGGAGAAAGTTAGTGTATAATTTTTATCTTCATAACGACCCTGTGAGTTAGATTAGGCTAAGCATGTATGACTGACTCAAGTTTAATTATCCTTCCTTTCATTTACATAAATATCATTAATGCATTCTTCTTCTTTTCATGGTTGACTTCATGCCTAGATCATAGGTAAAAAGGTAAAGGTTCCCTTGCTTGAAAGCCAGTCGAATCTGACTCTAGGGTTGCAGTGCTCTTCTCCGTTTCAAAGCCGAAGAGCCAGCGCTGTCCGAAGACATTTCCGTGGTCATGTGGCCGGCATAACTAAACACCAAGGCGCACGGAACGCTGTTACCTTCCCACCAAAGTGGTACCTATTTATCTACTTGCAATTTCTTGCTTTCGAACTGCTAGGTTGGCAGGAGCTGGAACTAGAGATGGGAGCTCACTTCGTCATGCGGCACACTCGGGTCTTGAACTGCTGAACTACCGACCTTCCACAACCTGCAGTTCAGCATCTTAACCACTTGAGCCACCACAGCTCCTGCAGGATTGAAAAATGTATGTACTACAGAAACCTATTTGACCATAATAAGGGAGAATCCCTATTTCATGGTCCATCTTTTACCAAATATAGTCTAAGTGACATTGCAGAGCCTTTTCTGTTATGGCACCATCCAAGGAAATTCTCTGCCAAGGGATGCATTTCTCAAGAAACTCCTTAACAGCATGTTGCCAGATACAACAGCTTTCACAGGTGAAGTGAAATGTTCAAATCACCCAGGAGCAAACTAAGCTGGGGGGTGCTCAGCAAGGACCCCACCAGTGGTAAGAAGAAAAGACCTAGAATTGCCAGGTCCCTCAGAGCAGCTGATGGGGAATGGGGGCGCACTTGTGGGAAGGAATGACAAAAATTAACGTGACATATCTTCATGACCTGAAAGTGACATAGGCATGCTGGGGGGCGACACTCTGGTTTTTGGGCAAAACTCTATGGTAGAATTAGCCTCTACCATAGAGTTCTACCCAAAAACCAGAACATCGCCCCCCAACATCCCCAACGTCACTTCTGTGTCATGTAGGTATGTTGCGTTAATTTCCGTCGTTCTTTCCTTTGGGGGGAGGTAATTCCCCTCCGCTGGCCAGTTGGCCAGTGATGGAGAGGTGGGGGCTGAAAGCAGGAGAACCCTGGCATCCGTAAACAGACCTGCCAGTCACCTCCTCTTTGCCATAACTACTGAGGTCCAGGCCCTGGCAAGAGGGCTAATAGTGGCGGCACAGCGAGTGAGCCTTCTCTTGTCATCACTGCCACCAGGTGATCCAAGTAAAAAGACCCTGTGGAGCAGCACCACAGGAAACAATTAGCTCAGACCTGGGTGGCAGCTGTGTAGAAGGAAGTGATCAGCAAGCCTAGGCCCGTTGCCATTGCTTGTCATAGAAAAGAGCCAGAGTCCAGCAGCACCTTAAAGGCTAACAAAATTTGTAGTAGGGGATGAGCTTTTGTGAGTCACTGCTCACTTCTTCAGAACTTTGCTTATCATGTTGGAGCTGAGAAGCCTCCAGGGAATTTTCCTGGTTTAAGTTAAAAGGTCAGTACACCCGGAGATGCTTTGCTCAGCTGCTCTTCTGTTGCTGGGTTTTCACTATGGCTGCTCTTATGATTTTACTGCTGATTTTATCCATTTGCTTGCACATTCTTAATGGATTGCCAGGTGTAATCAAAGCGTTGTTGTTGGTTTTTTTGCAGAGTGCATGTGCGTGTGTGATATTATTTCAGTGGTTTATTTGCGCTGCTGCTGATTATGTATATTGGAGAATATTTTAAGTTAAAACGCATTTATAATGTATTTTAAAGTCGTACGTCACCTTGGTGCTTTTTGGGCAGGAAACCAACTCACAAACAAGTGAAACAAATAGCCTTTCAACTGATACTCACATCAACCCACTCTTTGAAGCCAGCTGCTTCAGACAAAGAAGACAATGCCTGAGAAGACAGAAGAAGGGTAAATGACTATTGGGAAGAGCCAATGGCTCAATGCTTTGCATGCAGGAAGTCCCCATTTTCAATCCCTGGCATTTCCAGAAATGAAATACATTGAGCAACAAAAGTCTCACGCTCTTGAGAGTACAAATATTGTCTGATGGCCATTAGAATCCTGGTTAGTGTACTACTGGGATTGCCAATTTCTTTCAGGAACACCAGGGACTGGCTCTGTAATGAGACCACTTCAGGCGGTGGCCTGAGGTGATGATTTGGAGGGATGGCAGCCTTCCAGCCCACCTGGGTACTCAGCTTCCAATCACCAGGGCTGGCTCACTGCAAACAAGATGCTGTTTGGGACACCACAGATTGAAAATGGAGGTTGTATGGGAAGAGACAGCAGGGACAGCTTGTACCTGTTGCTGCTACCCAGAACTGCCCTGCCATTGCCTGCATCTGAGATGAACTCACATAACACTGAGGCACATCTTTCTCCTGAGTCCCAACTACACAGCACAACAAGAGTTAGTGGACATGGCTGGCTGGACAGCCACAGCTGCCCAAGCCTTACCTCCACTACCCAGAAGGAAGACAAGCTCCAGAGGTTCTAGCAGTGCACCCAGTGATCTCCTTCCTTCATGCTCTCTTGATGTAGAGTTGGGGAGAGGCAAAGGGGCTTGTCTACACCCATCATCGGAGAGTCAACATGGGATGTTTATTTCAAGAGTTGATAAGTGGAAATTAATAAGAATCGTAATCACTACATGCTCAGATAAAACAATCCTTGTGAAACGGGTATTTTTATTGCACAAAATCGTTGCATGTGAGAGATAAAAGAAGAGAGTTTCCCACAGAATCATAATTAATATAGTAAACAATTTTGCATATATATTTTTATTGACTCTTCATTATTGTTGTCACAGATGTTTGTTTGGACTTCAACCGCCAGTTAGTGGCTGAATATCTCCCACTATTGGTCTCCAGGTGAAAGAGATCAGTTCATCTGGAGAAAATGGCTGCTTTAGAAGGTGGACTCTATGGCATTATACCCCACTGAAGTCCCCCCTTTCCCCAAACCTTGCCTTCCTCAGGCTCCACCACCGAAATCTCCAGGTATTTCCCAACTCTGAGCTGGCAACCCTATTGAGGCAGCAAAATATCTGGCCAGAGCCAGCCAGCTGACCCACCATTCCCATCTGAGACCTGTGGACATAATCTTCCTCCCTCCCCTTGGCCTCTGAAAACAACCGGCAAACCATGTGGGCCACAGGCCAACTCTTGTAAGATTCCTTCTCACAAAAGTTTGGCCAACAGATTCCAGTAATCTCCATACTCAGAAAATAAACTAAAACTTGACAGTGTGGCCTGGATTCCTGGTGCAGCAAAATTCAGTGCATCTCTACCAAATACTCCACCAACAGGGCTTATTATTATTTTACAGCCTTCTGTAAGGAACACATGTTTATGAAAGTTACTGCTGATCCCTGGTGACACAGTTGCAGTGATAAGCATTGTGTCTAGTAAATACTGCAAGCATTTGGTTTGTAAAATCTATATATCTAATAGCCAAGGCACCTTCTCCGTGCGGATATCTAAATCCGCACATCAGGGGCACTTGGGGGGCAGAGAGATTTTCCTGCACATGTGGGGCAATCTCCAGATGTGCAGAAAAATCTGAAAAGTTGAAAAATATAGGGGGGATACTTAAATCCCCCCAAAAGTAAAAGAGTGGGGGGGGGGCTTGGCGGACCAGCCAGGCCTCGCTGCCACTGGGGGGGAGGCTTGGCGGGCTGAGGTCAAGCCTCACTGCCATTGCCATGGGGGGCAGGGGAGGTTTGGTGGGCCCAGTGGCTCAGAGCCGCATGGACCTCACCACTGGGGCCAGGCAGGGGCGGGGGAGGTTTGGCGGGTCCAGCAGCTTGGAGCCGCACAGCCCTTGCCATCAGGGCCAGGCAGGGGAAGGGGAGAAGGCTTACCTGTGGCAGCTTCCTCCTCTGCGTGGAGCTCTCCCTCCCCCCCCCCACGAGTATCACAGGTCACCGCTTCTTGTAGTGTCTAATGTTGTCTCATGCTGAAAAAGGTGAACTGGGCAAGATCATTTTGGCAATTAATAGTTTCCTACTCACATCCACAGCATTTCCGTAGCATATTCTGCCATCTCCTTCATAGCCCTTTGGGCACACACATTCCCAGACCCTAGAAGCTGACAACTGACAAATTGCCTATGAGACCAAAAAAAAATAAAAATAAATAAAACATCCAGACAGATAGTTACAATGATTACATACAGCAAAGCCTTTTAGATAGGAAGGCTTCCTTTTCCTCCTTAGTAAGTTTAACAAAATGTGCGTGTGTCGGGGGGGAGGTGCTGTCAATGGTGGAGGAACTCCCCTAGGCTGGGCCTTTTGAACTGTGGAGGAATATTGGGAAGAGCTCAAGCTTTTTCTGGTAATTCCCAAAGAAGCCTGGGAAAACTCAGCCCATTCCAAATCCAGATGGGTAGATTTTAACCCATCCCTAGTGATTCTGCTTCCAGCAAACATCTCCTGAGTGCAGGCAAGGGGCAGTGGGAAGAAACATATAAATCAGGGGTGTCGAACTCATTTGTTATGAGGGCCGGATCTGACATAAATTAGATCTTGTTGGGCCAGGCCATGTGTGTCATAAAATGTAATGCCAGGTAACAGAGATATAAACTTTATAACACAAACACAATGAAATATTTTTTAAACTTTAAATAAAACATGCTTAAAACACTAGCACTCTTGCAATATTTTGTCTATTTAACAGTCTCTGACAGAGGTCGATTCGGGGGGGATCGCAGGGGATCGCAGTTCCCCCGGGTGAGGTGCGGGGGGTGGGGCACATGACGAAGCCCCGCCCCCTGCTTCTGGCCGCCCCGCTTCCGGCCCTCATTCAGCCAGGAGGAGGCAGGAGAAGAGGGAGGGTAAGTTGCTTCCTCCCCGCCTCTCCCCACCCCTGCCTGCCTGGGGCCAGGGAGGACCTTGGCGAGGCTTCCTCACACTCCTGCCGGCCTTGCAGGTCAACCGCCGGGCCCCTGATGTCAGGGGGTGTAGCATATGCTAATGAGTTATGCTAATGAGTTCCCCTAGCTCTTTTTCTATAAAATGACCCCTGGTCTCTGATAACTGACATCTCTTGCTCTGAGTTATTGCAGCAGCAGAACTGGAAATGGAAGCAGGAAACAGCCAGGGCCTTGCATGGTAGAGCTGGAATTGTAACCCAGATTTCCCAGGAAAGCCCAGCAATCTGTCCCACTACATAGCTACTAGTTTCATAAATGGAGCCCACACAGGTACTTAACAATTCATTCTGCTGTGAGGTGAATTGCTTCAAGGAAATCAGTATCATGATGAATACTAAAAATAGCAGCCACATTAGTTCCAAAAATATGCAGTTCAATACTGGAGAACCTAAACATTAATAGGAAATGCAGTTCATTCTCCTAGTAATGGCTTAGTAAGGTATACCATCTTAATATACCACATGAAAAAACAATGTAAAACATTTGTGATATTTTGTAAACTGACTGAACAACTTACCAGAGGGTGGCATGTTTCGTTTTGTTCCAGACAAGGGTTTATGGATTCACATTCATATCCATTCCCCCGAAACCTTTCCTTACATTCACATTTGTTCTACAGTACATGGGAAACACAGAATAAAGTTATTCATATAAAAATAACTCCTCAGTCACACAAGTTGTTGATTCTTTCCATAGATATTCATGATGAAGCACAAGGACTTTCAGTGTCAGCTCAATGAGTAGTGATGAAGCAGCTCATGATAGGCAACAGCTAAAGACTGTGGCATGTGTATAAATACACAGATGGGCTCAACATTTTATTCAAGAAGCTTCATTTTCCCATGTCTTAATTTTGCAACTGGATTATTCTCTAGGGCTGTCAGGTCTCTGTATAGATTTCTACTCCCAAGCCTGTCCAGGAATGAGGGGGAAACCTATATTTTTCAGTACATTTAACAACAACCCAGAGAGGTAGGCTGCCCTCTCTGGATTCAGAACAATAGCCACCAGAATCCCTTTTTAACTAGTCCCGGCTTTCCCCAAGGGAGGGATTCCAAACCTTTAGGTTAGCCTCTGGGACATAACACACTGAACAACTCAATCTAGAGCTGCACAGTTAATATTACCAAGGTAGCTTGTATGGTGAGCAGAAGGCACAGGAGTTTAGCCTCTGAATCCAGTTACAACATCAAACAAGTTAGAAACAAGAACAATATTTTATTCAGTTCAGAGCTTTGCAATTAGACTAATAAGGATTTCAAAACAAGAAAGACTAGGGCAGTTTTTGCCTTCACTACACAGTAAGAGATATGCATAATTACCAGGATGATCCATAACCCAAGAATGTCCAGGTATACAGTCCAGCTAGACACCAAGGAATTCTGAGGGAAAATCCCCCTTGTGCACCAGCCATGTGCTCAGCTTCACAAAGGAGGTCTTTGTTCCACCTGGGAACAAAGACCTCCCGGTGCAATTCCCGGTGCAATTCAAACAAGTAGAGAGAGAGCAAGAACAGCGAGCTCTCTTCCAAGGGACCAGACAATTAAACCCCAATCTAATCATGACTATCTGTGGCCATCAGCCAATCACGAGTAGCAGGGTGTGTGACCAATTTTTTTGTTGTCATGGGGACAACTGGGGATAGGCTGGGGGGTTGGGAACCAACGCCCCCGTCACGCGACTCCCAAACCCAGCTTTTCCATGTTGTATGTGACATAGCCCATGTAGCCTTAAAGCAGGCGCCTTGAAGTCTAGCTCTTCCACAGAGGTGTGAAAGAATGTGTGGTTATATGGCATGCTATTGAGGCCATCTGGGCCTCACCATTTAGCTTGCAAGAGGAAGTAAGCCACAGCAGACAGAATAGGAGAAGGAAGAAGGCTTTTAGAAATCAATATTTCTATATAGTCTCTCACTATAGCTTCCAACCCCATCACCATTCAGTAGAGCAGCAGGAAAAAATGGTGCGAAAAACTGGCATTTGGCAATATCATGATATCACTTTCAGGGTGAACTCAGATGTAATTTCATCATAAAGCCATAGAGTTTCTGGTGAATCCTAGAGTGTCAAGACAACATCACTTCCAGAATTTAAGGTCACGCTGACTTGCAGTTTCAGAGGGAGAGATAAAGAATGAGATGGGAGTCTGACTAGGGTTCCCAGTCCCCCGGTGGACCTGGCAACCCTAAGTCTGACACAAATTCAAGTGAGATCATGGGACCTACATCATCAAGGCCAGGGACTAGGAAAGAAGAAGAAGAAGAAGAAGAAGAGATTGGATTTATACCCCGCCCTTCACTACCCAAAGGTGTCTCAGAGCGGCTGACAAACTCCTTTCCCTTCCCCTCCCCACAACAGAAACCCTGTGAGGTGGGTGAGGCTGAGAGAACTCTGACACAAACTGCTCTTTTTTCAAGGACAGCTGTGCCAGAGCTTGCGACTGACCCAAGGTCACATCAGCAGGTGCAAGTGGAGGAGTGGGGAATCAAACCCGGTTCTCCCAGATTAGAGTCCGCGCACTCAACCACTACACCAAACTGAATTTTTCCTCCGCATTCCATCTCATTAGTGCATAGAACCCTGGTTGGGGGAAGGTGTCTTGCTTGATTGTGAGTATGTGCAGCTGCACAGTACCTGGTTATGTTTCTAGCAACACACCTGATTGGTCAGGTCATATGTCTAGCAACATACCTGATTTGTTAACTAGGATCAGGCCAGCTGCTGGCAGTTGAGCATAAAGGAAGATAATTCATTCTAGTTTGAACACCTCTTGATTCTAGTTTGTACCCTTTCTCTTGTTTGGACCAAGTTAGGTTTTCTAGTTAATTTTGAGTCTCCTCCTCAAAACTGGCCTTCTGCCCCTCCTATCTGATTTGTGGTACATACAGTGAATATGTACAATTAATTTGTGGAAGTGAGCTGGAATTGTTCTCCGTAGTCCTGGCCTTCACACATTCATTAGAACAGCCCCTACACATGGAAAGTTTGTACGTATACAGGATGTATCCAGAAGTTCTGATGAATGTACAGCTGGTATGATCCCAATACCCCTTTCCAAACCTTGTCACATAGGGCTTTTACTGGATATTTAGTGAAAGACAGGCATGGAGGTGCTGCTCTAATGAATGTGACACCTGGCACTGCAAACATCACAGTTATACCTACAATGTCTTGGATCAGTTCCCAGATGCAAGGACTTGGAAGTTAACAGGTGGCAGCCCTGTTTTGTATCTGGTCCAGAGACTGCACATGGGGAGGTAATGACTGAAGTTCAGTGGGGTGAGAAATGACAAGAGGTACAAATTCTAGGTTCAATAAAAAGTGCTATACTTATGATCCTGCCAGCAATTGCTTTCTGAGCATCCTGCTAGGAAGATGTCACAAACATTACCCCCAAAGCTGGAGGAAGAAATCTACAACTATTGTTAAAACTAGATAAGACTAACCTATCAAGCCCATGGAAACAGAGACATTTGATATAGCACAGAGGAAAAGAGAGAAAGAAGATGTATGTGGTGAGAGGAGGCAGATGTGGCCATAAGCAGGACACCAACTTTGCTTAGGGATCTGCTCCTGTGCCTTTAAAATGGCAGCCTGAAATGCAGTAATAAATCAGGTAAAGCATACACACCCTTCACTGTTTTCATGCCATAAAAAGCTTCGCTTGTTAAATTTTTCAGGCTGATGTGGAGAAAGTCTACAGGAGATTCCTGTGGCATATGAGTAAAGGAATCAGCAGACCTGGCTTACCTGACCGGGACCTGTATGTAGACAGGTAGCATTACTATGACAGTCTCCAGCACTGGGCAGCAAGCAGTTATTGATTTCCAAGCAGTCTCTCCCATTCCCTGTCCATCCTGGCTGGCACACACACTCATGGGTTCCGGGCCCAGTGACAACACAGTCTGCCTGCAGGTATATTGAGAACACCAGAGATAATAAAGCTGATCATCTGCAGATGATGGTCAGAGGGAATGGAGACAGCACTGGACTTCGCTAGGCTTTGAGGCCATTCTTCTTTTCATGAAATTTCAGCAATGCAGAACATAGTAAATACTGGACAGTTGACTAGATTTCATTCATGGAGTTATTTGTGTGGAATAAAAGATTTTTATTTTCCATTAATCATACAGTATCCATCTTTTTCTCACTCGGTCAAAAATCCAATTTTTCCTCCCTCCCCCAAAAGGCTTCCCGCAATGCGTCTCCCTTATGTCACATATAATTAATAAGTTCAAGATAACATCATGTACTTAATATTGTTCTAGATATAGTAAATTATGTTTCACGTCCCAGTTCTTTTCTAAATATGTTTTAAAGTCACTCCATTCTTCAAAAAATTCCTGGTCTTCTTCATTATTCAGTTTTCTAGTTATTTTGTCCATTTCGGCCATGAACAGAACTTTTTGTATCCATTCTTCTAAGTCTGGTATTTTTTCCTGCTTCCAATATTGAGCATATACCATTCTTGCTGTTGTTGTCAAATACCAGAACAATGTCCTTTTTGTTACATTTAGTTCTTCCATTTTTAAACCTAAGAGCAGAATTTCAGGTGCTTTCTTAAAAGAAGATTTTAAATTTTTTTGCATTTCACAAGTCCACCACATGTGGTAAAATGAGCCCTCATGTTTTTTACACTTCCAGCATTTACTAGACATATTCTGATTCATATTTGCGATTTTCTTAGGTGTCATGTACCATGTATACATCATTTTATAACAGTTTTCTTTTACATTGGTACATATTGATAATTTCATAGAGTTTTTCCACAAATATTCCCATGTTTCTATTCATGATGTTATTTGGAGTGAACATAACTGCCATTGCTCTCCTGTCTCAAGCTTTTTTACACACCACAGAATTTTACACACCACAGAATCAGCGTCAGGAATACTCACATGTGCTGAGGGTGGGTCATGACATGTGAAAACTCTTACATACTTGGAAGTAACTGTAAGCTGTAAGTGGACCATATCAAATTAAATTAAACACTCTGCATCCCGAAGTTCTTTATTTCTTACTCCTTGAGCAGCACCTCCTCCCAAGTTAATTTTCTGCATTATTTTCTTACTTAGTCAGTTCCTGATCTTCAGTGTTCAAGGAGGAACATAATGTGTCTTGTTGTACACTGGAATGTCCCTAGTTTTCAGCAAGTATCATGTACACGCATGTTTCCAAAAGAAGTTGTGGACAGAAAGGGCAGAGATCCCAATTGAATGGGAAGTGCCACACAACAAATCACACTCAAAAGGAATATGAGATCCCATTGATAAACTCCTCCATAGCTCCCATTAATTTAAAAGTGACTGTGTGGGAGAATTCCCTGGTGGGTTATGCCAAAAGCTGTAAAATGTCTCCAGGCTACTGATCTACTGCTTTTAAGGAAAACTTGTTCATTGGTTGAAAAAAGTGACAGAGATACCTCAACAATTAGGCTAGGAAGGGTGAAAGAATAAGAGTTTTTCTACACATTGTACAGCAGGGAAAAGTCGTGGTGGTAACATTTGCCTTCTTATTGAAGCCAGTTTTCCATGTGAAAGTGGGAGATGGACTGTATTTAAAGAAAAATATCAAAGGGACACCCCCCCCCACCTTTTGGAGGCATCACTATGCATAGTTCTTTAGAGACAACATCAATCCCCTTTGAACTAATTCATTTTTAGTTTCTGTAGTGACCATTCTAACTGAAAAAGTTCAATAAAAGATATTTATGTAAATGATCTTAATTTGGATGATTACATGCAGAATTTAAAATATGCACATTTATTTTCTAAGTTTGCTCACAACAAACATACATGTTACAGAACTGTATACTCACATGAGTACTGCAACGATGGAAGGTTGAATTTCCACAAGGATCTACTTCACTGCATATTATTCCATCTCCTTCATATCCAGGTTTACAAGCACAGCTAAAATGCACCACGTATCATAAAATTAGTAGGCATAGAATATAAAATGAAACTAGCTGTATTACTTCGTCTTTAAAACAGTAGTATAAAATAATAGTAATTCTACTGTTACTGTCAACAGCAATCCTGGGTTTCCGGTAGAGGTTTCTTGCTCAATAAGGCTTCCAAGAAAATTTAACTTTACCTTCCAATAACTGAATCCTGATATATTTCCTGGCATCGCTAGTTACATGATCTTAGTGTCCATCTATACATTACAAAGTATCACACATTTTGTGCCTCCCAGACACTTGTTTGGGACCACAGCATACAGGGAGGAGTGGCTGTAGCTTCTCCCCTGCTGTTTTCACATCCTCAAACTACCCCCTGCAGACCTATTGGGTCTGTTGCAAAACTTGTTTGTAGCCATGTAAGTAATATGTTTCTTACAATGGAGCCACCAGCAGCTCTGTGGGGTGGTTTGCAGATGCAAAAACAGCATGCTTGGGGGAGGCTACAGCTGTTTCTCCCTCCATGCTGCAGTCACAAACTGAAAAGAGACAATGTGTATTTGGGAGGCACTAAACTCCCATCTTGAGCTCCTTGAGCTGCGGTGGCTCAAGTGGTTAAGACGCTGAACTGCAGGCTGTGGAAGGTCAGTAGGTCAGCAGTTCGAGATCCGTGTTGCCGCATGACGGAGTGAGCTCCCATCTCTAGTTCCAGCTCCTGCCAACCTAGCAGTTCGAAAGCAAGAAATTGCAAGTAGATAAATAGGTACCACTTCGGTGGGAAGGTAACAGCATTCCGTGCGCCTTGGTGTTTAGTCATGCCAGCCACATGACCACGGAAATGCCTTCAGACAGCGCTGGCTTTTCGGCTTTGAAATGGTGATGAGCACCACAACCCTAGAGTCGGACTCGACTGGCTTTCGAGCAAGGGAACCTTTACCTTTTTAAAACTCCCATCATGTGTGTGATACAAAGTCCTCATGTTGTTCCCTGAGGACTTTGCAATGTGTAGATTGAGACCTCATGTGAGGAATGGGAGAAACCTCAATGTAGGCCCTTGAATGCCTATTTCTGACCGGGACTAGGTCCACCAACAGCATGATAGCTTATTAGACTATCCTTTTCATTGAATATTTCACATATGTGCAATTTCAGGTTGGTGTGCCAAACAGAGAGTGTAGTAGGCAACTGCCATTTGCACATGACAATGTACTGCCAATGCCTTATTAGCCGTGAGGAACCCAAGGAGTAACTTAATTACACTGAGATCCAGGGTGCCGAAATGGTGTCTGTGCCAGATGAAGAGAGTGAAGGAAACGGTTGTACTTGAGGAGTAAATAACAGAAGAATCAGCTGTACAGTTGGTTTGGCTTGGAATACGCCCCTAGCCAGGAGAAAGGCTAAAGCTTGATGAGGAATAAATGCCTTCTTGAGAATGTGAAGTGTGTGTATGTAGGGCAGGAAGTGGGTGTGCGTGCCTCAAGAGTCAGAAAGAAGGATCCAAGGAGGGCAATGACAAGAACTAAGAGTGACAGGTAACTTTTCGAGGTGTTGGGCAAACAGCTCGGTAGTCAACAAAAAGTATATTAAGTATCTTTGCATGTGCATCACTCTACCTTCTATAATATCATCACATGAAAGCTCACAACGAACGACAACTGAATGCATTACCATAAACTCCTCATAAACCTCATATGAACCATCTGAATAGCCCACATAATTATCAGATGCACAGAATGGACCTACCTCATGGAGCCATTGCTGAACAGGCAATGCCCATTACAGAGCTGAGACATCTCCATGCATGGAAACACCTGCATGTCACATAATTTCCCAGCATATCCACTTTTGCATGAGCCAGGAAGGCAGGTTCCATCGCTATCTATTCGATTGTCACATTTGCCATAAACACACATACAGGCTGTGGAAGGAGGGGGAAAATAAATGTCAATGCAATAACTAGAGTCCAGTAATACCTTAAAGACTAACAACATTTGTGGTAGGGTATGAGCTTTTGAGAGTCACTGCTCACTTCTTCAGATATGAAGAAGTGAGCAGTGACTCACAAAAGCGTATATCCTACCACCATTTTTTGTAGTCTTTAAGGTGCTACTGGACTCTTACTTTTCTACTGCTACAGACAGACTAACACGGCTACCCATCTTGATCTAACAAAATAACTGAAAGAGGCCTAAATCTTGAGATCATATTGCCTTTAAAAAGCTAGAGAACATATATTTTAAATAAAACCTTTGCTAGATTCTTGGCTAATTTTAACATTTATACATTGGCAGAATACATATTCTCAGCTCATTCTTTTTTTAACAATCATGATGGGATTATTTTTCTACAATAATTTCATTTGGCATAAATCTGCTTATTAAAATATGTTTTGACACTATGGTTTTACAAAGCAGCCTAATATCACAGTCTAGTCTGATCTTTTCAGAGCTTGGAAGCTAATCAGGGTCATCTTTGGTGGGAGATCACCACGGAAATTGGGTTGCTATGCAGAGGAAGGCAAAGGCAAACCTGCACATCTCTTGTCTTGAAAACGTCATGGTCCTGGGATTGTCATGAGTTGGCTGTGACTTGCTGGCACACAATTATTTATGGTCTTACAAAGAGCTTGGTCCATGAATGTCCAAAACTTAATCACCTTGGTCTATGCTGGAAACACTTACTTGTGTCACACTGAGGTCCATATTTAGTGGAATCTGAACAGAACTGGCAGAGTGATCCTTCAAATCCACTATTGCAAACACAAGTTCCATTTCCGTTCATTCCATCCATACACTACAATGGGAAACCAACATATTTGAAATATGTGCATCAAGATTCACACACAAAACATATTATGACTCTATGGAGGAAATATGGCAGAACCCTCCCTGCAAGATGAACTTACAAGACTCAGCACTGAAAAAGAATGTTCTAACAGGGACTTTATGCTTCTAGATTCTTCTGTAAGCTTTGTTTTGTAGTTTATCACTCAGTAATCAAAGATAATACTGTTTCCTTTTTCTGCCACGGATTATTTTTTAGACTTCACAGCCAGACATTTTAAACAGAAGGACAGACTCATATTAGTTTTATTCCCAGAAAGCTCTAACAAAGCTGATTCATAACAACTCTTTGCTTGTGACAAGCAATTAATTGGCTTTGGTGCACTATGTGCATGGTGAAGTTATCTGACTACACACTCAGCTGTCCATCCTGTGATCAAGGAGCTATAAATTCCCCCCCCCCATCCAACTAATTATGTCCCAAAGGGGAGCTGAGATAGTTATAAAACAGCAGATATGCTGAATGCACCAAAGTCAACCCACCTCTCAACAAAAACAAAGCCCTGTCTTTTAGAGTTCAACCAAGCAAATGCACTCCAGCTTAAGCTAAATATATTTACTCCATTTACCTGTCCATTGCCTGAACAGGGACTGGAAATATCACCTGGACATTTATTGCAGTCTGGACCAAAGAATCCTTTACAACACTTAGGCTCCTGCGAAATAAAGCAAATACTTCCTCATGACCATGAGCAATGCGCAACAATCATACAGCACTTCGGTCCGGGACCCAACATCTCCTGGCAGTGCCAGGTCCCAAAGAGGCCAGGCTGGCCGCTACCAGGGCCAGGGCTTTCTCGGTGGCGGCTCCTATCTGGTGGAACGAGCTCCCGGAGGAGATCCGGGCCCTGCGGGACCTTGTGCAGTTCCGCAGGGCCTGTAAGACGGAGCTCTTCCACCAGGCGTATGAGTAGGAGCCGCCACTACCATCATCATTATTCCATCTTCACCTGGCCCTGGATGAGGGAACATTAATGCTTCCCTGGAGCAGACGATGCTGAACAGTTCAAATATGCCATCTCTGAAATTTCATGTAGAACATCTAGAGCACTTTAGTCAGTAACTCGTTATTAATGTTTTTGTACTGTTGGATTTTAAATGGTTTTAATTATGTTTTATATTGGCGTTTGCCCCTATGTAAGCCGCCCTGAGCCCGCATTGCGGGGAGGGCGGGGTATAAATTGAATTAAATAAATAAATAAATAAATAAACAGCATGGAGTGTTGAAGCTACCATAAAATCCGATGATCAAAGGAAGTGAAAGCAGCATGCAATGCAGAGGAGAATATCTGTTGCAACAAGGGTTTGTTAAAACAATGGAGGGAAAAGCCAATGCAGAAGATAGGTGGGTAGAAAAATCCTCACCTTTATTGTAACATTGCAGTATTTAGCACACCCATGTCTTACGAAGGGATGGTCATAATAAATACATTTACTGCTTGCAATATCCTACAGTATTAAAAAGAAAAACCATCCAAATAAACTTCCACAAAAACACAGGCATTTGGTGCTATATTAAAATCAAATACAAGAATGATATTAAGCTGCTGGTATTTATTCCATTACGACTGAAATGCCGTTACGAATTCTAATGTAAAGTATGTAGAAGAAAAAGAAGTTTATGTTTTTTTGGTAACTGTATAAATGAAAATTTACTTACAACAAGTTTTGAGTCTTTTGGGCAACTGTTCCAGTGGAACATGGGGCATTTTCCACATGTACCCTGAAACAAGCAGGATGGTTATGATCTAGGAAGGTATAGCTTTATCATGTGAACATCATGTCTGCTAACACTTGACAGTCTGATTTCTTATGTTGTCTAGGGCTTTCAAGAATGTTCTTGTTATGTACGTGGACCGCCACCAGGGGTCCGAGGCACATGCAAGAGCTTGGCTCCTGGAACAAAGGAAACTTTGGATCCTGGTTTCCCCAGCCCCAACCAATAGCCACTTTGGTGGGACATTCAAACCCTCCAATGGGAATAGGGGAGTGCTGGGTGGATATGTATATAGTTGGCTCTATCGGGCCATTAGAGTTAGTCTTGGAGTGAAGAACAATAAATGTGTGCAAAAGCATGTCGTCGTCCGAGTCCTCCATGCGGCAAACCCAGTATGCTTGGGGTTCCCAGTTTCTCAGAGAGCCAAACTACACGCATAAAGGGATGTGTAGGAGCACTGGATCCCTCCATTATATAGATAAGAGAAGTCCTTTATCTATTTTATTTATTTATTGAACTTTTACTCCGCCCTCCCCGCCAAGGCAGGCTCAGGGCGGCTTCCACAAAACTGCTAAACAGTATACATTTTACAATGGATAAAATGAAGTAAATGATTTAAAAACACAGACAAATCAATTTAAAACATCACTTTGATGGCGATAAAAATAAAGTGCAATTTAAGGACACATTCAGCGGTGCCGCCGCGCTAAGCCGTGTTGGATCGGAGTTCCATACAAGTCCTTGTGTATGAGGGAACTCTATACATTCATTAGACAATTTATTGGCTGCCTCCTTTTGCTTTATTACTCTGAATGATCCTACCTGTACAATTTCAGTTCTCTCTTCATCGCATCTTTGTGGCAGAACTGGGATTATGGAGGGAGGCATAAGAACACCAGAGAGTATATAAATCCGTCCATTTTCTGCAACAATGTCTCCTTCTTCTATTGCTTGACCATTGACCAGGATTTGCCCCTGCATAAATTACAACAATAAATTGATATCTTTGAATTTTCCCAACACTATTTTGCAAGATTTTATTTTATTTACTTGTAGACCATAATGGGCTCCTGTTGCTGTTTTTATCTTCATCGTTATTATCCTTCTGTCACGACTCGCATCTGTCTCCAGGGCAATGCCGCTTTCTGCTGTCTTGGCAACCACTTCAGTAGGGAGCTCCCGGCCCTCAGAATGGGAGGGAAGAGGGTTCTAGGTCCCCCTGACCCTCCTTCTCCCAGCCAGTCAACCCGAGTTCTGAGCAGTCCAAGTTGCTGACTCATATTCCTTCCCAGCCTGTTCTGAGGAGCTCCCTTTTATGTGCTTTCCCTTCCTGCGCTTTCCCTTCCTGCCTCCCCCTCTCTATGGACTCCCATTGGACCTACCCTCTGCTCCTCAGGCCAGGAGTGCTCCCATTGGCCACCTGTAGGAACCCCTCGCCCAGGCTTCCTCCCCCTCCCTCCCAGTCAGCCAAGATCCGCCTGCCATTCTTCCACTCCCTCCAGCAGTGCCCAGTTCGGAGCCTGGGGCAGCCAGCTCAGGGTGGCAACTGGCCTCCCCTTTGCGGGGCCTGCTGCCACTGGCATCTCAGGGGTTAGAGTGCCCATGCTGCTGCCACTGTTCTGGGCTCTTTTGGCCTCCACGGGAGCCTGCTGGGGCCTTCTTGCCAATGCCACTCTTGTTGCAGGGCTGCCCCCCCCAAAGGCCCCTCTAAGCCTGGACAGTTACTGTTCTTCACAGTAACTCTTCATAAGTAAGAACTGCCATTGCTTCTTGTACTCTGTTCCACACACACTCGTATGTCTGACATTTCATGTACCTTTACAGCTCTTGGGTGGGGTTCTTAAGAAGGCCTGATTTGTAAAATCAGGTTTGAGGTGAAGAAAGTTGCCACAAATTAGGGTTTCCAGTCCCCAGGTTCCCCCAATTTTGGGGGCTTTTGCCTGCTGCTGGCTAATTGAACAGTAGGGGAACCCCACCCCCAAACAGCAACATCCCCAATGTGATGATGTCACCCAGAAGTTTTGAGGGCAAAACTCTATGGTTTAGAGCTGATTTTACCATAGAGTTTTGGTCAAAAACCATAGCGTTGCCCCCAATGTTCCCTCTAAGCTGTGGAGTCTTCTGAGAAAAATTCTACTTTGTGAGCTGCTGGAATTAAAGTTATGAGCGAGCGATTTGGTTACTGCATAAATTAGTTTGCACTGGAGCCATCCTTCCTGAGCTAAGACAAAAATATGTGAGCCGGAGGCTAAAAAACTGTGAGCTAGCTCACCCTAACTCAGCTTAGAGGGAACACTGGTTGCCCCCCCAAATCCTCCTGCTAGTGTCATGAGGGGACCTGGCAACTCTACCACAATTTTTTTCTCTCTGTGCCAAAAGGTGTCATATGAATTACGCCTGAGAGACAGTGTGGTTAGTGGTTCATGTAAAGTTTGAGTCCACAGCAGCAAGGAAAAGGTATAAATCTGCTTTATTTTAACTTTAGCAGACAAAGCCTCAGCAGGGCATCCATCCTGGAAAAGGCTTCTCTAATAACTCTCCCTTTTCCGGGAGCATGCTTGGTCTGACTGCTCAACAAAAAGTCTCTGCCGCTTGACCACTAGGTGGCAAGTAACAGGGATATGTGTTCCAGTTCAAATGCCAGACAAGGACCTGGGAGGTCTAGGTGCAAATCCCCACTCTGACACGACACTCCTGATGGGTGACGTTGGGCCATCCACTCTCGCTGTTTCAGCCTAATCTATTTCACAGGGATATCAGGATAAAATGTGAAAGGGAGAACTCTCTGAGTGCCACAGAGGAAGGGCAGGATAAGGGAAGAGGGGGAGAATCTCTAATGTAACAGTTATATCATTTCTTCTGGTAATGAATGATAGTTTTTGCTCATCCCTTGATGACTGTAGCCTAAATCAAATCAACTGTCCCTTATCATATGGGGAGGGGCTGTGGTTCAGTGGAAGACCCTCTGCTTTGCATGCAGAAGGTTCCAGGTTCAATCCCCCCTGGCATCTCCAGTTAAATGGACCTGGCAGTAGGTCATGCAAGAGACCTCTGCCTAAGGCCTTGGAGAGCCATTGCCACTCTGAGTAGACAATACTTACTCTGATGGACCAAGGGTCTGATTCAGTATAAGGCAGCTTCACATGTGTTCAAATGTCGCAGTCAGATGTCAAAGTTCTTTTACGTATCACCTTGTGTTATCTCAAACCTCCAGTGGAGTCAGCTGTGAGTTGCCAAGTCACATATATGTACATGCGAGCCAGCTTTTCACGTTATATGTTCCATTATATATTATGTATTACTATTCAATGAAAGGCCACCTAGTATTTATTACTGCACTAGGGGCAAGGCCCATTGTGGGAAGAGGCAACGAGCCCTAGGGAGGGCCGCCGCTGTGGGCCAAGGCGGCGGGGCTTGCCCCCCCCCCGAAGGAGGGCCAGGGTGCGGCAGGTGAGGGAAGTGCAGCATGGCCGGCTCCCCCCTCCCTGAGCCCAGCCAGGGCTGGTAGAGCCCCCCCCCCAATGCAGGGCCCACAGTTTGGGTGGCGGAGGCCAAGCCGGGCGAGGGAAGCGCGTGCAGCTTCCTCCCCCCTCCCTGAGCCCAGCTGGTGCCAGCAGAGCCCCCCCCAACGCAGGGCCCACAGCCTGGCTGGCGGAGGCCGCTCCAGGTGAGGGAAGCCCGGCGTGGCCGCCAGAGAGAGGCCTCGCAGCAAGGAAGGGCGCTGTTCTCGCCCCCCGAAGCAGGGCCCACCACCTCCCCAGGCGAGGCCGCACCAGGTGGGGGAAGCATAGCACAGCCGCCTCCCCCCTCTCCGAGGCCAGTGGAGGGAACTCCCCCGAAGAAGGGGCCGCTGCCTCCCTGTGTCTGGCCGCGGCTGTCTCCCCCATCTCTGAGGCCAGCCGGAGTCGGCACAGCCCCCCCAAGAAGGTGGTAGAGCAAGGTGGACCGCCCGCCCGTTCGTGACTGACCTCCTCCTCCGCCATCTCTGCCCTCTCCCATCCCCCTCGCTTCCAATTTGCTTCTCTGGGGCTGCTGCTTCCTCCTGCTGCCAGGACTGCCTTTGCTGTGCCCCCAGCCCCTGTCGCCTGGCATCGCAGCCTCCCTTCCCCAGCTCCTGGCGGTGGCGCTTGCTTGCAGTGGATGGCTGGGACGTGGCTGAGCCACCATCTGCCAGCACCATGATTCCCTCTCGGTTCTGCAGGCCGAGGAAGGCCACACGGTCGGCTGGACCTGTGGAGGCCTTCCCCTGGCTTAGCCTGCAGATGGTCCAGTTCTTCTCAAGGACCAGAGCAGAGTGAGCCGAAGACCCTGGCCGGGGCTGACATGGGCGGGACTCCACAAAGCAGCCAGCCAACCCAGCCAGCGTCTTCTGACTGGCAGTTCACGCGGCCAACCTATTTTGGCGCGCATAGAACATTGGGGGATGAAAACTCAATTATATATAAGGAGAGATATATAAAATTACCTGCCATTAAATGTGTTCTTAAATACATACCAGGCCTTTCAAAAGTCAGAAGCCTGTGGTGTTTGCCACCTAAAGTGACTGGACAGAACGATACAGCAAAATGAGCCAACTTCTCTTGGACTTACGCTTTTAGTGATATTAAAGTAGATGAACTGTTGAGTCATGGTCTTGATGAGCCCTGTTGAGATCAGGCTGGCAACCTCCAGCTGGAAAATTGAACATTTGTACAGTGTGATCATGTTCCATGCATTGCTAAACATCATGTATATATATTTTCCCATAGCACATCATTAGTGAATAACATTTTGTTTAAAAAGAAAGATTCGAATCCAGTACTACCTTAAAGACCAACAATCTGGCATTTCAGCTTTTGTGTATCTGACAAAGGGAGCCTTAATTTTCAAAAGCTTATAGTCTGAAAATCTACTCCAGATCAGCACAGCAGATGCCCCAGGCATACAAATTCTATAAAGGCAGGGGCCATGGCTCAGTGGTATAGAGCATCTCCTTAGCATGCAGAAGGTCCTAGGTTCAATCCCCAGAATCTCCTGTTCAAAGGGTCAGGATAAGGGCAATGTGAAAGACCTCTGCCTGAGACCCTGAACAGCCACTGCCAGTCTGAGTAGACAATACTGACCTCAATGGACCAATGGTCTGATTTAGTATAAGGCAGCTTCATACGTATTTGGTAAATCTCGCAGCAGGGAAAACGTTTCATATTTCAATAGAGAAAGGATGAGATTTGAGGCAAAACGCTCTTCAAGTTATGATTTGTGGCCACTTTTTATATTTCACAATAGCTACCACAATGTTGTTAAACAGTCTCACAAACTTTTCCCCACCACAGGCTTATTTTTAAAAGTGACTGGCATACCACCAGTGTGATTTAGTGGCCAGGGTGTTGGATTAGGCCTGTGGAGTGATGCATCAGAGCAAGGAGCTTGGACGTTTGTTGCGTTCCCATCCTTCTTGCAGTCCCTTCCAACTCTGATAAAAGTTAATTCCCGGGTTTACAGGACCCAAGCAATGCTCCCTCTAAGCTGTGGAGTCTTGTGAGCAAAAATTCTACTTTGTGAGCTACTGGCATTAAATCACTGAGTGAGTGATTTGGCTACTGCATAAAATTAGTTTGCTCTGGAGCCCTCCTTCCTGAGCTAAGACAAAAATGTGTGAGCTGGAGGCTAAAAAACTGTGAGCTAGCTCACACTAACTCAGCTTAGAGGGAACACTGGACCCAAGTGAACCAACGTGAGCAACTTTGCTGATGGAAAAGGGAGAAGGGGTAATTTTGCTCCCCCCCCCCCCACTGTAGGCCCTTGCCCTGTCCGTGCAAGGTCTCTCCCCAAGAATCAGACTTCCAGGGGCCAGAAGGGATTGCTGTGGGGAGGGAAATGTGGCAAAAATCCACACCCGTGACCACCTTCTGCCAATGTATTGCTGGATTTGACCCACAGATGCACATCCCCACTCAGCCATAAAGCTTACTGGATTATTTTGGACCAGTTCTAAGACTTGCAGAGGAGAGCTGTGAGGATAAAATGGGAGGTGGCCACCTATGCGATCTGGAGCTCCGTGGAGGAGGAAGGGACTGCGCAAAAATTGACCAGACCAGACTTTTACTTCTGAAAGCTAGCATGGTGCAGTGATTATTGTGTAAGACTAGGATCTGAGAGAACCAGGTTCAAATCCCCATTCTGTCATGGAAGCTCAGCTGGGTGACCTTGGGCCAGTCACCCTCTCTCAGCCTAACCTACCTCACAGGGTTGTTGTTGTTGTGGGGATCAAATGGAGGAGGAGCCGTTTGGAGTCCCCACTGGTGGGAAAAATGAGTATCAGTGGTGGTGGTGGAAAGTGCCATGAGGTCACAGCCAATTTATGGAGACCCCACAGGGTTTTCAAGGCAAGGAATGTACAGAGGTGATTTGCCATTGCCAGCCTCGGCATAGCAACCCTGGACTTCCTTGACAGCCTCCCATCCAGAGCTGACCTTGCTTAGCTTCTGAGGTCTGACAAGATCGGGCTAGCCTGGCCCATCCAGGTCAGGGCAGGGTATAAATATCTAAATAAATAAATAAGATTTCTCATAGAGAATTGTGTTTGGGGAACTAATCACATGGTCCTTTGTCTTTCATGGTTCTTTGTCTTTCATTCATTGGGAACAGCATGCCATCGAAGTCCTCTGCTGTTAGGAATATATTGAATATATGCTGGAGATGTCAGTTATACCAACCTGGGTTCGAGGAACGATGTGATGTTGAACTAGCTCATGAAGCTTTCGTGAACCCTGTTACAAACAAAACAGAGGCTCTTGTAACAAACTAAGTATAACACAGACTTTATTTCCTTCACAATTTTCTTCCAATTCTGTAGCACAAAATTTCTCTCTGAAAACTTCTGTAAAACAAAATTAAACAAACAAACAAAAATCCCTGTATGATTACTTTTTATATATTCAGCTGGGGACCTGGAGTCTCATTTGGCTCTTTGGCTTTGTTTACCTTCCTTATCCTCTTGATTCCTGTTCTCACTTTTGTGACCCCCTCTTATCGCCATTGCATAGACAGTCAAAATACTCCCTATAAGACTGAGTTGATCTCCGTCAATGAACATTGTTCATATAGTGAATGTATGTACTTTTGAGTACTTTTATAAAATCACTTGGCCATATGGTATGTATGCATGTGATAGCCCAATGGATTATATCAATGTTAAAGGAAGTTCCAGAAGCCGATTGAATGGTAGTATGCAAAGGGACAGTGTTTATGTATCAATTTGGACAGTTTTTAAAAAATTGTATGGCATTGTGTATAGAATAGCCAGGAGATCCTAAGATTGCCTGGCAGCCAGCAGTTCTAGCTCTCTAGCTTTATGCACCACTAGGTGGCAAGCTAGACTTGTTTTTAAGAAGAAGAAGAAGAGGAAGAGATTGGATTTATACCCAGCCCTTCACTTGGAGTCTCAGAGCGGCTTACAAACTCCTTTCCCTTCTCCTCCCCACAACAGACACCCTGTGAGGTGGGTGGGGCTGAGAGAACTCTGACACAAACTGCTCTTTTTCAAGGACAGCTGTGCCAGAGCTTGTGACTGATCCAAGGTCACATCAGTAGGTGCAAGTGGAGGAGTGGGGAATCAAACCCGGTTCTCCCAGATTAGAGTCCGTGCACTTAACCACTACACCAAACTGGCAAGAGATGTTTCAGAAGTGGTTTGACATGGCCTGCCTCTGCGTCACGACCATCGTATTCCTTGGAGGTCACCCTTCCAAAAATTAGCCAAGGCCGACCCTGCTTAGCTTTCGAGATCTGACAGGATTGGGCTAGTAATTTGGTCAGTGATGCATACATATCCCATATCCAAGCTGGCCTTTGGTTATGTCCCAGTGGATATAATTTCAGCATACAAATGAATACCCATGTGCATATTTAAAGACTTATACCTTACTTGACAACAGGTAGTCCAGAACTCCATCTTCCAAGTTCTCCAAAGCACTATTGGTTGGAATGAAAACTGTATTAGGACCAGGATGTTTATCTAAACTTGGTCCCATGCCTGTTTTCTATTTTTAAGAGAATGGGGGAGGGAAAAGAAACAGTCATCCAGTGTAGATTTTTTTAAAAAATTCACTGTAAAATGGGTTTGTTTGGCATTTTTAAAACCTTACCTCTATTAAGGATATAAACGTGCTGTATCTTGTTTTGTCTTGAAGAACTTTCATTATAGATTTCTAAGAAAACAAAAATAGATTCATGACACTTTACATATTAAAAATCACTGAACAATTGGTTATATTGGTGTTATGCATGCCAAAAACAACACAAGGCTTATCATGAACAGCACTTCACTTGAGTGCTGCCCTGGAGCCCTGTTGCTTGATTATTGTGCTAACACACGCCAGGCCTCAATGCTCTTCTGAATCAGAACCAACAACCACTTCTCTGTAGGAAAGTACAATGCAGTGACCAGGGCTATTTTGGGGCAGGAACACACAGGAACTGAGTTCCGGCTGGCTCCCAAGTTGGCCACACCTGGCAGGAACTCATTAGCATAATAGGCCACACCCAACAGCAGAAACTCATTAGGATTGGCTATATTAGGGGTGTGTGGCCTAACATGCAAAGGAGTTCCTGCTACAAAAAAAGCCCTGGTTTTGACAACAAACAAGATAAACAGAATCACAAGCAAAAGGTGGATGTGGCTGGATAACCACACTTCTGGTAAATGGGGGTGCAGCCTAATGTGCTAATAAGCTGTGCTGTCAGGGGTGTGGCCTAATATGCTAATGAGTTTCTGCTGTTGGGTGTGGCCTGTTATGCTAATGAGTTCCTGCTGGGCTTTTTACGTTGAACCCTGTTCAATTCTCACTTCAGGCAAGATCAATCAGTGGCCTTGGGAACCCCACTCCTTGGAAGGTCAACCCATTATCTGCAGTATGGCAATAATCATCGATCGATTTCCCTGGTCTATGTATTCCTGAGATAATGGAACCTATGAAACAAATTACATAAATCCTAATTATTTGTTGTTCTGTTGAACAGAATTAAGTTCAAAGGGATATGCAAACAGATAAACATCTGAACCAAGAGTGCACTATTCCTTCTGTCCCCCCCCCTCTCTCTCTCGTCTGAAGGATATGCCAATGAACGTCAGCTGAGTACACTGGGACCATTATAATTTTTCAAATATGTTGCTATAGATTCTTAAATGACCTCACCTCTTCATTCCCTTCAAAGGTAGGTTCCATGTTGTCCAGAGCTGTATCAATAATGTGCACAATTCCATTGCAGGCAGGAATACCCCCTTGAAGGATTTTTCCTTTTTTCTTTCCTCCCTGAATTCTAATTCTTAACAGATTGTCCTGAAAGAGTACAGAAAATGAACAATGGAGACATGTTTACATTATTTTAAAAAACAACAAGAAGAAGTGCCATGTAAGGCTCTAGGAATGGACAGCACGTAGTTGTACAATCCGTGGTCATCCAAATGCTTGCAATGCCCACACATGCCACTAGGGCGCAGTGTCCTCTGGCATCTGGCCTGTAGGATTAAGTTTACCTATCCAGATAGCACACAGGAGACTAGCAGCTTCAACAATATGCTGTTTTGTTGCTTCACACTCACTTGGAACTAGTACCTACACACAGAGAACTAGAACTAAGTGAGGCCCCAACCATACAAACCTAGAGGAGGGAAATTGAAACTAGCTTGTGAAGGCTCGCTTAAAGGCATACACAAATGTGTTCATCACATATGGAAGCCCTAGAAGTAGCCCCACTGATGTGTGCATAGAAACTGGACTGCATTGGACTCAAAGGAGCATTAGGTCTAAGATCCCATGTCTGGACAGTAGAGTCTGGCTGCCAAAGGACTGCTGCTGCATCGGCACCAATGAATGACAGTTTGTCATCCATTTAATTCTTAGCACTCATATTTTGAGTTAACCTCCATGTTTTGTGGTCACAACTCCAGCTTAGCACATCCTATTGATCAGACAGGATTATGTTTCATGGCACAACTTCCTTGATTGTGACTCCTTCCTTCTCTGTCAACACCTGACTAGTGAATTTGTACTATGCAGTGTTATACCACTGGCACGTCTTCTTGGAGGCTTTCCTGTACTGGTGCAACATCGTTATTTGTGCCAGTGCAGAGGACTTACATCTGATCATCCACTTATGGCTTTGCACAGCAAACAGTGGTATCGCAGCTTGAATAATCTATACCAGACCAGAAGGAAAATCTTATGAATAGAATAGGTATGGATGCAGAGGAATTAGTCTTTCTGAGAACTGGGAACTAGTTTTCAATGGCTTATAAAATGGTGCCATCTTCTGTTTTATGTTACTTTGTATTTTATCAGTTTTATTGCTTCTGTATTAATATTTGCTGTGATCTGCTTTGAGGGCTACAATGTTATATGTCGCAGAACAGCAGAAACCAGCCAATAAAACAAGTCCAGAATGTAGAACTCTGTCAATAAAGCTAACTATTTTAGATGGTGAAGCCGCAATAATGAAGTTAAAATCATGCCTTACCTTTTCATTTAATATGTCTCCTAGTTTGCCAGACAGAGTGTAAACCGTTCTTGAATTATTCAACTCACTTAGGTCCAGTTGACCAGGAATTATGTGGAGCTTTACAAAATACTGGGCACTCTGTTTATTAGAATGAAAGTCTGCCATCTGGAAGGTTAACAGAATTAAGCACATAGGATTAGGGATGGGCATGAACCAGCTGACAAACCTAAATTCGCGATGAACGGTGCCTGGTTCATGGTTCGGGAACCTCGGTTTGTGCCATCCCACCCTCACGAGCCCCACAAATGTCTCAAAAACCCTCCAGGTGGGTTTGTGTAGTTTGTGTAGACAGACATGATGGCACCGGTGGCAGGGCTTGGAGAAGGCCTTCTCCAAGCCTCGCCCTCACAGCTTGCAGAAACCATTTAAAGGGACTCCTTTAAATGGTTTTCTGCAAGCCGCACCACCACCACAGTGCAATTCACAAGTGAACTGAGAAGGCATTTAAATTAATATTTAAATGCCTTCTCAGTTGACTTGCTGAGTTCCACGGTGTGACTCAGAGAGTCAACTGAGAAGGCATTTAAATGCCTTCCCAGTGGGAAGTGATTTCAGCAATCCCTTTTGCTGAAATGGCTTGCAAAAACCATTTAGAACATATAAGAACATAAGAGAAGCCAATGTTGGATCAGGCCAATGGCCCATCCAGTCCAACACTCTGTCACACAGTGGGCAACATACCAGGTGCCTTCAGGAGGTCCAGCAGTGGGGCCAGGACATTAGAAGCCCTCCCTTGTTGTCCCCCCCAGCACCAAGAATACAGAGCATCACTTGCCCCAGAATTCCTATCTATACCTTGTGGCTAATAGCCACTGATGGATCTCTGCTCCATAGGAAAGGGAACATTCCCTTTAAATGGCTTTTGCAAGCAGGCGCCGTGGCCAAGTGAAGTCTAAGCAGACCCTGAAGTCCACGTGGACCCTGTGTGACCCTACTTAGCTTCCAAGATCTGATGAGATCGGGCTAGCCTGGGTTATCCAGGTCAGGGTGTGAAATATACATACCACAGCTGTAAGAGCTATGGAAACTTGAGTTAGGAGGAAAAATTACATTTCATCTCCAACAACAAAATATTGTGACTTCCTGCTGGGAAAATGTGACTTCCCCACACAGCGCATACTAGTTTGGCAAAAGACTCTGGATTGCCTATAGCAATTGAATGAGTACCGCATTGCTTCAATTTAAGACCCTTGTGAACTTCTCCTAGTGCCAAGAATATCGCCTTTCACTTTTAGATGTACTCAGGGCTTTTTTTGTAGAAAAAGTCCAGCAGGAACTCATTAGCGTAATAGGCCACACCCAGCTGCAGGAACTCATTAGCATATTAGGCCACCCCCTGACAGCACAGCTCATTAGCATATTAGGCCGCACCCCATGTTACCAGAAGTGTGGTCATCCAGCCACACCCACCTTTCCCTTCTTATTCTGTTTACCTTGTTTGTTGTCAAAACCCAGGGCTTTTTTTGTAGCAGGTACTCCTTTGCATGTTAGGCCACACACCCCTGATGTAGCCAATCCTAATGAGTTCCTGCTTTTGGGTGTGGCCTATTATGCTAATGAGTTCCTGCTGGGTGTGGCCAACTTGGGAGCCAGCCGGAACTCCATTCCTGTGCGTTCCTGCCCAGAAATAGCCCTGGATGTACTTATTTTTCAGAACTAACCAACATTCTGCTTTATTATTCTTTTCAAAATGGCGCCCCATTTCTGCACATGCACTTACATTTTTTCCTTTGAAACCCTCATTTGTTGGAACAAGCACTGTAAATGGCCCCAGTGTACTCAGCTGACGTTCATAGGCATATCCTTCAGACGAGAGGGGGGGCAAAAGAAAAGATGATTACTGTGAAAAAGTTTGATGTGTAAAAAAATGTTATAAGGCAAACTGAGACGGTTTTAGCTGTGCTGGAATAACTGTATTTCAGGGCTCTGAGACTGCCATTTGCCTGTTCCTATAGTTTCAAATGTGGAATGAGATGTAATTGACTGGCTAGACTTGTGCTCTACCAGTGCCATGGCTGGACCAACCAGCTTAAAGCAGGCTACACCTCTTCTGCGCAGGGAAAGGCTGTGTGCAGGTGATCCTTTCGGGTCTCCTCAGATTGGCAGGTGGTGTAGCGTCCTTTTCACCCACTCAGTGCTGACACCTGCGACATGGTGTTATAAACTGGCCTGGCATTTGATTGGCTAGGTCAGGGGTCCCCAGCGTGGTGCCCATGGATGTCACAATGCCCACCAACATCTTTCCTGGTAGTCAGCAAGTGTTTTTAGAAAGCGGGGAGGGCCAGAAGGGGCTTTTGTCCAGCAGAGCTTCTGATTGGCTGTGCAGATTTTTTTTAAAAAACATTGTTTTGGCAGCAGCTGCCACTACAGCACAAGGATCTTCACTGCATGACTGAATGTAAGTTATTTTAAAACATTCTAAAAGACATCGTGTTAAAAAGGACTTCTGCCTTAAACATTGAAGATGTACTGTTGGAGTTATGTATAACTTCACGCCCTGACATTTTGTGTTTGACTCTGCTTCCCATGGCAGCCATTTTGTGGTTATGTCCAAAATTCTGTGTCAGAATTCCAAAGGTGTCCACAGGCGAGGGCTGGAAGGAATACACTACATTGCTACAACAAAGATATAATAATTGGCAAGAATAATGAGGTATATAAGGATGAAGCACTTTTCTTAAAACATCCTATCATTCTCTGGAGTGTCGAGGTATGTTGTGGAGGGGATACCTTTGGCGCAAAGTAACTTCAACCATACCCTTGGTTACTCAAGCAGCATGTTGTGGGGGGAAGGATGAGGCCTGGCACCACCACCACCACTACCACTGCTACTACTACTACTAGGGCTCAGGGCTAGGGCTGCCAAGTGGGGGCAGGTGGCGGGTAAACCCCCGCTTTGGCCGCGGAATTGGGCCCCGGGGGGAACTCCGCCCTCCAAAGCACAGCGTGGCTGCGTCACCAGAGGTGATGCAACCACGTCGATCACGTTGGGGGTGTGGCCCGGATCGTCAGAGTTTTCCCTCCGACGATCGGGGCCACGCCCTCAACGTAGTCAACGTCGCACGTCCATGGACGGCTCCCGGAGCCGGGCGAGGCTCCCCCACCGGTGAGTTTTTTTGACTTGGCAACCCTACTCAGGGCAGTGAACAAGTTAAAATACACAAAAATAAATTAGTTACAAATTACTGACTATAAATTACCATAAAATCAAACATTAACTGGTGGCTTAAAATGCAGTTTGCTGCCTCCCCTGGGTGGATAAGGGCCGGTCATGGAGGAGGCCACAGTGAGAGCCACAATGCAGGCCGTGGCTGTCCTCAACTATAGGCCTGGCGGAACATCTCTGTTTTATACCCCCTGCAGAACTGAGCTGGGTCCCACAGGGCATGGATGTCACCAGGTAGAGAGTTCCACCAAGCCAGAGCCAGGGCAGAGAAAGCCCTGGCTCTAGTCGAGGACAATGAATACAAAAAGATTGCTGCGAAAGTTCACTGAAATATACAAAAGATGTTCAGTAGAAAATTCAACTTTTCATGATGTTATTTAATTCTTGTTTCCAACAGGTGCCAACAAGATGCACAGCACAGGAACAGGACGAACACTTCTCGAGTGTATCTGCGTTCGTTTCGAGATATATTCTTTATCAAACTTCACTTTTCAATGATCTTCACACAGTTTAAATCACCACAAGGGTATCCATACATTCAAATTGGCTCACAAGGCTCCTATACACAAAAGTTCTTTCCCATCGACAACAAGTCTTAGTGGTTAATTGAAAGCTTCCATTATATTTACACCATGTTATCACGTGCCTTCCCCATTCAGGTAGCCAACTGATCATGATTTATACAGTAATATATACAACAATATATACAACAGGAGGGTTACAAGCAACCACTACATACTTTTTTGAATACAAACTTTATCTATGGTTAAAATGAGAGAATCCAACAATGATAGAGAGCAAAGGGTGAAAACAATATTTAAAGAGAGAGAACAGCATTTAAAGAGAGAGAACAATATTTGAAGTGAAGATCCCAATTTTACTCTCCTAAAAAACATGACAAGTCAAGAGCAGCATTCATTCCAAAAGGTTGTTCAGTTTTTAAACTTTCGCAGCAATCTTTTTGTATTCATTGTATGTTGTTGCTGTGCCCTGAGTTTATATAGTCTAGTCGAGGACAGCCAGCCCTCTCTTGGGCCAGGGACCACCAGCACGTTTTGATCTTCCGAGCACAAGGCTCTTTGGGGGAGATACCGGGGAGGTGGCCCCACAGGTATGCTGATCCCAGACTGTTAAGGGCCTTAAAGGTCAGAAACAGGACCTTAAAGCAGATCTGGTATTCAGCCTGGAGCTGGTGCAGCTGGCGAAGCACAGGTTGTATGTGTGTTGTTATGGGGTGAGGATAGGGGTCCAGGTGAGGATAAACAAGGTAGCGCTGGTCAAGTTTGGAGCCAGGGAGGAGCTGCCCCAAATTAGAGTAGCTTGTTGGTTATTAAGTTGTGACTGTTCCTTAACAGATGAGATATATCATTTATGATGCAGACCAGACATTTAATTAATAATGTCTCAGTTTAATCCATATGAATAGCTATCCTGTATAGCCACGGAGGGCGGGTACTCCTGAACAAAACCAGTTGTTAAAAGTAAATGACAGGATCTTAAGGCTCCTGGAGAAAGCCGCCTTGAAAGCCAGTTCTTTCAGACAGAAAAAAAAGTTTTCAAATATGAGTAGCTCAGTAGATTTATAATCTAATCATCTCAGTTTATACTGAGACAAGTATATTTGCAAATGGCTTCAGGAACTCAGCTTCTAATGCAATATCCAGCTCAAGCTGTGATAACAAATTCCCCTGACCTTGCATTTAGAGGTCTGTACAGGAAATCAGGACTATTGTTATGAATGAATGCAGGTCCAGAACTGTTACAAGTGTATTGGAAGACTTGGCAAGCATAGCTGTGAGGAAACTGAAACTCTATGCATTACATATTTGCCAATATGTCTATCTGACAAAAAAGCTAGTCTCCAAGTGAGACAGATACAAGTTTCCAAAACTGGATTTGCATCCTTCACCCATTATATTTGTAGGTGCACACCTAAAATGTGTAATAGGATTCATTCTCACCATCATTTTGCAAATTATGAAGAGGATCTAGGTTTGCCATCCTATGCTTAGTTATTTGGAAACCCCCTTTTGAATGGAAGGGTTGTTTTTTTTTTTGCATCTAACTAAGCATACGCAGGAGGTTCATTCCAGCAAATTGCAAGCCAGAAAGAATGCTGAGGTGTGAGCGGAGCAGTTCACATCCTGAGCAGAATATAACTGCTGTAGCAGAATATAACTGCAGTGGGCGGTGCAAGGCCCTGCGCGGCTCCAGACTGCTGCTGCGTGGGGCTTCCTGTGTGAATGAGCGGCCGCTCACATGCGCAGTTTAGAGGGAACACTGTGGGAATTCCATTTTGGAGGTGCATTTCTAGCTCTCGTAAAGACCTTTTTCTGCAGATTGCCACACACAATTGCTTTATGGTCTACATAAGGGATTTTTTTTAAAAAACCTCTGAAACAGTTAAGGCATTTGCTTTTGCCACTTGGACTTGGGTGTGGGCAGGATGATATTAGAACTCTGAGAAGTATAGATATAAAAGCTAGCTATAGGAGGCTGATTCCTTACTATCTTCTATCAGCAGTTTCCTGTATCCTGCTTCCTCTGCAAGCCAGCAAGCTTCTTTCTCCCCTTCCTTATCTAGCTATAGCCTTCCAAACATCAGTACCAAAAAAACTATGCATTCATTTACATACATTTAGACACTGCACATTTGGTTGGACCAAAAATCCTTGCCAAGTCTGGCATTTACAAAGAGACAAAATGAGTTGATATATGCCTTGATGAGAATTGCTGACACCCAGAGATTTAAGCCCATATCTTTAAAATCCTCTACAGAAGTGAAGAGGATACAGATTCTGAACTTCCTGCTCTTGTGCTCTCTTGGTCCCTTTGCTCATGCCCCCCTCCTTTTTGTTGTTGTTCAGTTGCACAGTCGAGTCCGACTCTTTGCGACTCCATGGAACACATCACGCCAGGCCCTCCTGTCTTCCGCTGTCCTCTGAAGTTTGCTCAGTTTCATGTTCGTTGCATCGCTGACACTGTCCAACCATCTCATCCTTTGCCGTCACCGTCTTCTTTGACCTTCAGTCTTTCCCAGCATCAGGGTCTTCTCCAGTGCGTGCTCCCTTCTCATTTGGTGGCCAAAGTATTTGAGCTTCAGCTTCAGTATCTGGCCTTCCAGGAAACAGTCTGGGTTGATTTCTTTTAGGATTGACTGATTTGATCTCCTTACAGTCCAAGGGACTCTCAAGAGTCATCTCTAGCACCATAATTCAAAAGCATCTCTTATTTGGCGCTCGGCCTTCCTTATGGTCCAACTGTCACATCCATACATTATTGTTATAGGTACACTCAGGGCTTTTTATTAGCATAATAGGCCACACCCAACAGCAGAAACCCATTAGCATATTAGGCCAAATTACTGATAGCATGGCTTATTAGCATATTAGGCCACACCCCATGCCTTCCCTGTGGCTGCGGGGAGCCTGGGCAAGCCAGCCCTTGGAGGGAAGGCAAGGCAGTTTAAACTGCCTTCCCTTGGCTTGCCTGGGTGCCCCACGGCTGGGGGGAGCCCAGGCAAGCCGACCTTTGGAGGGAAGGCAGTTTAAAATGCCTTCCCTTGGCTTGGCCAGGTGCCCTGTGGCTGTGGGAACCCCGGGAAAGCTGGCCCTTGGACAGGCTGGGGAAGGCACGGGGAGGCATTTAAATGCCTCCCCAATCCTTCCAGGCCCCCCCTGGCCTGCCCACCTTGGAGTCGCCGGGGTGTGTATATTGCTCTCCAGGCCTTCCCTCTGTAGCCACATACGCAGAGATTTGGCTGTAGTGGGCGTGGCCAACTTGGAAGCCAGCCGGAACTCCGTTCCTGTGCGTTCCTGCCCAAAAACAGCCCTGGGTACACTGTACTCAGGACTGCACAGGTGTGTTTTTTTAAGAGGAGTGGTGGATAGATAGACTTGCCTCTAGCTTGACGGCCATTCCAGCTCTATTGAGAAACAGCTTGTTCTCAAAAAACGTTTGTGTGTAAAGCGCTATCAAGTTGCAGCTGACTTACGGAGACCCCAGTTAAGGGGCTTTCAAGACAAGTGTGAAACAGCTTTGCCATTGCCTTCCTCTGCAGAACCTTTCTTGGTGGTCTCCCATCCAAGTACGAACCCTGCTTAGCTTCCAAGATCTGATGAAACTGGGCTATACCATGCTGCGTTCCCTCCCTCTCAAGCCACAAAAGTGGCCTAATTACTTATGTTGACCAAGCTTGGGTGTTTCTCTACAATGACAGGACTCTTCAGAACAAAACAAGTCCTATGTTAATAGCTATTGAAAAATTTGGTCCTCTGTTCGGCTACAATGAGATTCTGGATCCAATTTTTGTGTGTGGTTGAACAGGAAAAAAGCAGAAAATGCTACATTTAGGGTTGCCAAATCTTATTTACTCACCGGTGGGGGAGCGTTTGCTCGGTCTGGGAGCTGGCCAAGGATGCTGGCCGCCAGAACATCACTGGAAGTGACGCAGGACGTAGAGCACGTTGGGGGCGTGGCCCAGATCGTTGGGGGGGAAACCATATGGTTCCCCCACTACGATCTGGGCCACGCCCCCAACATGCTCTACGTCCTGCGCCCCCTCTGGTGACGCAGCTTCAGGGGGGCAGAGTTCCCCCCGGGGCCCGATTCCGCCGCGGCAGAAATCGGGCCTCCAAAGCAGGGGGATATCCGCCCCCCGGGGGGGATTTGGCAGCCCTAGCTACATTTCAGACTCTTGCAATATCCTTCATAAAGTGGCTGATCTTCGTTGAACATATCTACATACCAAAGAGCTGTACAGCAGATGTTAGTTTTCCTTGCCACTGCCCTCCAGGCAAAGAGTTCATGTCCCTGATTTGGTCTATGATATTTCTGTAACATACAAACCCATTGCCTCCATATCCCTTTTGGCAAGCACACCTATGCAAAAGAAGAAACATAGTGTAGTTTAGCTTGATTTTACACAGAATTACCAGATACTTTAAGTAAACAGTAACATAGTCAATAGTCATGGGGTCCAGCTAGATCCATGATTTAAAGTTATCAGGAGATCCACCTTAGCTGGAACGGGGTGGTGGTGGAGAGGGCGTGGCTTGATGATGATGACAGTCCAGTCATCAAAAGTGGGGCAGAGGTGTGTGGGAGAAAGCAAACAGAAACAATATGTAGAAGGAGAAAGGCTATTCAAAACTGGTTTCAAGAAAAAGATCAGGGTAAAAGTGGTCTCAAAAGAACTGAGAAAAACCCCCAAAACAATGAAGTGACGACTAAAGGACAAAAACGTGTGTAAAAAGCAGGGGATAAACTGAAGCACTATGAGGCCAGGACCAACCCCCAAAACCCCCAAACAAACCATGAGGTAAAGCCCAATGTCATACTTAATACTTATGGGGTGCAGCTAGATGAGACATTATCAAAAGATCCACTTTAGCTGGGAAAGGGCCCTCTCCACAAGGTCAAATGTCAGTTATGCCCTATTAAGATGGCATTATCTGGGCAGGACTGAAATTGGACTTGGATATACCCTTTGCAGGGTACTAGACTGCCATTTGCTGCTTGTAGTGCATCCTCTGTTCTCAACAGGCACATAGTGGGATATTTTTAATGTATACGATACGCACGATATATTGCAAGTTGTTTTAGCCAGTTTAAAAATATGTTGGACATAATTAACCATGCAGTCCTATGCAGAGTTATAATTATTATTTGTTAAATTTGATTTTAAACTGCCCTCCCCTGGAAAAATTGGGCTCAGGGAGGTATACAACATAATATCATATAAACATAATTAAAAGCAAATTAAAAGGGAAAAAACACAGCAGTAACCAAAAGATAGTGTTAAATCCCCCCCCCCATGGTGCCACTGGACACACAGGGAGGCAGGTGGAGGGAGTGACAGAGAGATGGAACCGTCACTGTCCTCAACCAAATGCCTGGCAGAACATCCCTGCCTTACAGGCCCTGTGGAACTGTATCAGGTCCTGCAGGGCATGGATGTATTAATAATGGCATTGTTTTATATGGTTTTATGTGGGTTTAAAACCATATAAAACAATTCCATTATTAATGGTTTTATGTGGGTTTAGGAGCTGCGGTGGCTCAAGTGGTTAAGACGCTGAACTGCAGGCTGTGGAAGGTCGGTAGTTCAGCAGTTCGAGACCCGAGTGTGCCGCATGATGGAGTGAGCTCCCGTCTCTAGTTCCTGCTCCTGCCAACCTAGCAGTTCGAAAGCAAGACACTGCAAGTAGATAAATAGGCACCGCTTCGGTGGGAAGGTAACAGTGTTCCGTGCGCCTTGGTGTTTAGTCATGCCGGCCACATGACCACGGAAACGTCTTTGGACAGCGCTGGCTCTTCGGCTTTGAAACGGAGATGAGCACCACAACCCTAGAGTCGGATTTGACTGGCTTTCGAGCAAGGGAACCTTTAACTTTACTTTATGTGGGTTTAACTGTATTTTATGTACTGACTGTGAGCCGCCCTCAGCCTGCATTGCGGGGAGGGCGGGGTATAAATGCGATAAACAAACAAACAAACAAATATTTGGCAGAGAGTTCCACCAGGTTGGAGCCAAGCCAGAAAACACCCTGGCTCTGGTTGAGGACACCCGGATGTCTCTTGGGCCAGGGACCACCAGCAGATTTTGATCTATTGAGCGCAATGCTCTCCTGGGGGTATACCAGGAGAAGTGGTCTCGAAGATATGTGGGTCCTGGCCAGAGTTCCCTCTAAGCTGAGTTAGTGTGAGCTAGCTCACAGTTTTTTAGCCTCCGGCTCACACATTTTTGCCTTAGCTCAGGAAAGATGGCTCCAGAGCAGACTAATTTATGCCATAGCCAAATCGCTCGCTCACAACTTGAATGCCAGGAGCTCACAGAGGAGAATTTTTGCTCACAAGACTCCACTGCTTAGAGGGAACATAGGGCCTCAAAGGTCAACACCAGAACCTTGGACCTGATCCTGTACTTCCCTGGAAGCCAGTGCAGCTCCCGCAGCACAAGGTGGATGTGTGCTGTACACGGAGTCTCCATGACTATCTAAACCCATGGATCTAAATAGGCTAGGACTGGAAGAGACTCTGTAGAGGATTGCTCTGTGATTCTGATAATCATTTTTTCCCCTTTTCCATCCATTCCACTTGGAAGTTATCACAAGTTATCAGAAGATACATGACATACTGAGTCTTTCCTGGTGCAATCATTGTGCACATTGCGTATTTATGGCAGGGATTGTTAGATGCACAGATATCCGTCATACTGCATCCTTCTCCATCTACAAAGTTGCTGAAATGTTCTTTGCATTCACAGTGGGACTAGATTAAGAGAAGGAAAAAACAGTGATTTGTTTTCAAACCATTCATTTACTTATACCTATCTCATGTTACGTACTAGCCTTTTCCACTCCTCCCCCTCTCTGTGTTGTTTGCTGTTTCTGATAAATTCCCACTATTGACTTTTATTTATCCAAAAGTTTTCTACATTGTTCTAGGATTCTTCCATCAGAGAAGCCTGTTCTAAAATAAAAAAGTTGTTAATGGCTTGAAAGTAGAGTTAAGGCTGTAACAAATTCATTAACACTCCAGAAAAACAAAACAAAACAAAACATGGGTCTGGATTAGGGTTGCCAGCCACGGGTGGTATACAAAAAGCAAAAGAGAAACACAGATATAAAGGTAAGTATATAAAAAAGAAATTTCTGTGAAAATAACTAAACCACACACACACACATATACAGGGGTCATTTCATAGAAAAAGAGCTGCAGGAGCTTATTAGCGTACCTAATAAGCTATTAGCATAATAGCTCATTAGCATCTGCCAAACACTCTGACAGTGCCTGCCAAGGCAGGCTGGGGGGGGAGGGAGGAAGCAAGGAGAGAAGAGGTTTAAAGTTTAAACCCCTTCTCTCTAGAGTCACACCGCTCTCCATTCTATTCTATGGGGCCATAGAATAGAATGGAGAGATTGTGCCGCCGCTGCAGTGAGACTCCAGAGAGAAGAGGTTTAAACTTTAAACCCCTTCTCTCTTTGCTTCCCCCCCCCTGCCTTGGCAGGCTGGTGGGAAGGGGGGGCTTTTGAAGCCCCCCCCCCCTTTTCCTTCCCCAGCCGGCCGGCCAAGGTGGGCTGGGGGGGGGGAAGCGAAGAGAGAAGGGGTTTAAACTTTAACCCCCTTCTCTCTTCACTCCCCCCCCAGCCCGCCTTGGCAGGCTGGCTGGAAAAGGGAAGGCTTTTGAAGATTCCCCCCTTTTGCTTTCCCAGGCAGCCTGCCAAAGTGGGCTGGGGGGGGAAGCGAAGAGAGAAGGGGTTTAAAGTTTAATTATACAAAACTCTGACACAAACTGCTCTTTTTCAAGGACAGCTGTGCCAGAGCTTGTGACTGACCCAAGGTCACATCAGCAGGTGCAAGTGGAGGAGTGTGGAATCAAACCCGGTTCTCCCAGATTAGAGTCCGCACACTTAACCACTACATCAATCACTTATAGAAATTTCTCAGGTGCGCCCATCAAAATCACCTACGTGGTAATTGAAGAACCACATCAATAACTAATATTCTAGAAACTCACATCAAGTTACTGAACAATGTATCTTATAAACATTTAGTCATTATATAATGAAACAAAAGGTCCTAGTTCATAGAACAACCAACTCGTACTGTTTTTTTAAAAGACATAGTCGGATTAGGGCTCATTAAGTGGTGAGTACTTATCTCCAGAACCCAATTCAGCCGGGGGGGGGGGGAACCCTTGGTCTTTTCTGAGATCTTCTGCAGTGTGCACAAAGCACGTACGGCATGATTATGTCACCTGGAAGTGACATCATCACATCGCCAATGTCAGGGGGGTTGATGCTCTAGTTTTGGGGCAAAACTCTATGGTTTGTAGCCAATTTTACCATAGAGTTTTGCCCAAAAACTAGAGCATCAACCCCCCTGACATTGGCGATGTGATGACGTCACTTCCAGGTGATATCACCATGTTGCCTTCTGGGCCAGTTGCGGGCAGGATTTCCCACAATGGCCACCTGGCTAGTGGTGGGGAAGCACCCTGCAAAAGTGGGGGTTCCCCCGCCCCTGATGGGGGGTCCAGCAACCCTAGGCATTGCTGTGGCATCCATCTCTTCCAATAAGCCTTCCACATCTTTCATTTTAATACGTGGCCATGTTTTAAAACTTTTATACAGAACTGACCTCATATTCACTATTCCTCTTTCCCCACCCTCTAAAAGAACAAGGGGCTACTAGACATCAGACTAGGGATGAGTGTAACTCAAAAGTAGCCACAGGAAGCTGCCACCTGGAGGAGCAGGGAAGAAGGGACAGTTTAACCAGATACCAAGTCAGCATTTGACCGTTACCTTTCCAGGGCCATCATATTTACAGACAGTGGACTCTGTAGGACAATGCACAGATTTTGTATGGCAAGGCTCTATTGGAGTGCAAACTTGACCATCTCCATCATAGCCATTCTGGCATGCACATGTATGACGATTGGGTCCAAGGTAGATGCAGTCAGCACGAGGATCACAGACCTGTTCTAAGCATGGGTTGATGGCTGGGGGGGGGGGGGGGGAAACAAAAAAACAAATCAGAAGGGAAAAGATAGAAACAAACACTGACTGCATTCAGTTTTCTCTCCCACAGTACCTAAAGATCCGTCTTCTGTTATTGTTCTGCTAAGGGGTGAAGAGAATCTTCTGTCCCTGATCATTAATTGAGGGAACCAAGAGAATAGAGGGTTCTTTCAACATCTACCATGATGAAACTGGCAATGATCTTATCAAGCACTTCAGTGCCAGTGCTGTAAATGACCACTTGGCCAATGGTCATCCAATCCAATGTTCAATTCCTCATATTTATTTATTTACAACATTTATATCCCGTCTTTCTGCACAGCTAGGGCCATTGTATCATGAAAGAGGCAACTGATTCACCAGCCTTCTGAAACAAAATGTTTTTAATGCAATGCAAAAAAGCAAGGCTTTATATGTATCGACATTAAACATACAAATGTGAACTTAGGCAAATCATGAAAGGGAGGGCAGGCAGGGTTAACAACATAAGAACACAAGAGAAGCCAATGTTGGATCAGGCCAATGGCCCATTTAGTCCAACACTCTGTCACACAGTGGCCAAAAATACCAGGTGCCATTAGGAGGTCCACCAGTGGGGTCAGGACACTAGAAGCCCTCCCACTGTTGCCCCCCCCCCCAAGCACCAAAAATACAGAGCATCACTTGCCCGAGACTGAGAGTCCCTATCTATACCTTGTGGCTAATAGCCACTGATGGATCCACATGCTTATCTAATTCCCTTTTGAAGCCCTCCATGCTTATAGCTGCCACCACCTCCTGTGGCAGTGAATTCCATTTCACTCTTTGGGTGAAGAAGTACTTCCTTTTATCTGTTGCATCACTGCTTAGTTCTTGTAGCTCTTTCTTACATGCCCAGGGAAATGCTAATCACCACTTTGGGGTCAGGAATAAATCTTTCTCCAGACCAGTTTGGCTGGAGATTTTGAAGGTTTTTTTGTCATCTTCTGGTCATGGAACAGCAGTCACAGGGTGTGTGTCTGTGTGTGTGGGAGGTATTGGTGAATTTCCTGCATTGTGCAGGGGGTTGGACTAGATGACCCTGGAGGTCCCTTCCAACTCTATGACTCTATGATTCTATCATTCTATGAAATGTTGTGTTCCGTCTGGTTCTCCTGTATAAATTACTCACGTTTGCAGTATTTGCCCTCTTCCCGATAGCTGGGGAGGCATTTGCATTCTAGTTGAGTTTTATCTGTCTTGGAGACGGTACACCTGGAGTTTTCTGGGCACTGCAAGGACCGGCATTCCGGTATCGCTGGAATTAAAGAGGTCAAATAATTAAACAGTGGCATAAATTGCTTCAACAGACTGCTGACACCCAAAAGTTTTGTGCTGCTTTTCTTAGAGAAGCTGTTAGTTTTATAAAGGTTGGGTGTGCATTTATTTATTTTGTTTATACACCACTCAGAGCAGCTTACATGATTCTTCTCTCCTCAATTTTATCCTCATGACAACCCTGTGAGGCAGGTTAGGATGAGAATGAGTGACTGGACTAAGGTCAGCCTGTAAGTTTTCACAGCAAGGTGGGTTTTCAAACTTGGGTCTCCTAGTTCCCAGTTTAACCCTGTAACCACTACACAACACTGCCTCTCTGTATGGAGTAAAGTAAAGGTAAAGGGTCTCAAGGGCCCAGTAGTGACGAGAGGACCATAGAAATAGGAATAGCAACACTTTAGTTGCTCTGACCTGCATAGCCCAGGCTAGCCCAGACTTGTCAGAACTCGAAAGCTAAGTAGGCTCAGCCTTTGTTGTTATGTGGATAGGAGACCTCCAAGGAATACCAGGGTTGTTACATGGAGGCAGGCAATGGCAAACCACCTCTGTTCATCTCTTGCCTTGAAAACCTTACAAGGTTGCCATAAGTCAGTTGTGACTTGACAGCACTTTCCTCCACCACCATTAGCAGAAGTCAGTGAAGGCAAGAAGTAGTCAATGGCTCTACACATAGCAATGACAGGGAGAACTGTAGATTTAACATTCCAGAGCAGGAAGAAGCTCTGAGTTGGTACAAAGATGGGAGAGATAGCAGGAAGTCTAACTCGCTTGATTCTAAAGCTCAGGGCAAATCCACCACCTGTAACCTAGTCTTTCGAATGGCTGCTTCACCCTAACACAATGAGTAGTTTGTTACCCTGAGTTGCCCCAGCAGCTAAAAAAAAGCCATTAGATAGGCCCAGGAGCCGAAGCATTTTACTTACGTTGGTCACAACTCGGGCCTTTGTATTCAAACAAACATGTGCATTTTCCATCTCCATTCATCCCACTGTTGCAGATTCCATGAATGCAGTGACATACTGTGAACAAAAATGAAGGAAAGGATTATAGATGCCTTAATTACATCCTAGAAAGATTTCATTACATTAGATATCCAAATGCAAGTATAACACTCTGATAGTCTACGAGGAAGCTATGGGTTAATTCATATGTCCTTTGGCTGGCAGGAATGTGCACAGGATCCCCCCCCTTCATGTTTCTATTTCAGCTTCAATAAACTTAATTCCATTTCTTTAATCACTAGGATTAAAGATATTAATTTAGTTATCACATTTGGTTTTCGTTTCAATAGGAACAGATTCCCAGAAGTAATTTCTTCTGACCTAATTGAGCTTCCTTGACAAATCTCAGAGATACAGGAAAAGAAGTCTATGTGTTGCAAGCAATTTAACTTCTGGCTTGTGGAATGTGCATAGTAGGCAGTGACAACATCAGTATGTGAGTTTTTCTTCCTGCCTCAGGACCCTCAAGACCCTGTGTGTATGTCTATTTTTAAACAAAATCAAAGTGTGAATGA